CTTAGATTCTTGAACTAGATCGAATCTTTAGCAAAAACAACAGCAAAAGCTGAACATCCACAATCAACTGCGCAGCTCCAGTGAAACAGCTAACATGGCGTCTCAATGTACTACTTTTAAGGAACAGTGTAAGATTAATGCGCGATAGCATTTGAAAAAATATAATTCCAAACTTTATCCTTAACGCTGCTCTTTAAAAAGGATTTGCTTATGGTCTTATTTTGTTGCGTGTCAGTTTTATAGAAACAACAAATTTTTTGCCTAAAATATGAGGTAAAATATAATTAAAACCGTAGTCCGCCCTCACAAGTCCATCAGGCTAATTAGCATGTTTTGCGTCACGTGCTTTATGACGTTGATGAACCGCATTGAACCAGTCTAAACCGTACTTAAACAGTGGCGTATAGACTGCCTGGTAGCCGAGTGGTAGGGCTCAAATTTAAATTATAGAGTGTTATTTTTCTAGATAGTTCAAATTTCTATCTAGATTACACTATTCGACGTTTAGTTACATAAACCGTTTACCAGTAATTTCTACTGATATAGCCTTCAAAATGGATGCACTTCTAAAATATTAGTACAATCTTGTAAATGTACATTTCTGTAGCGCCACTTATGGAAGCATGTCTGACTAAGCAATAAACAAGGGTGTTTATCCCAACTGCGCAATAGCATAGAGCTAAAAATAAACGAAAAGAGTATGGGATTGACGAGTTAGGGGTCGTCCATAAATGACGTCACACTCGTAGGGGGGAGGGGGGGGTCGGTAATTTTGTGACGATGTGTGATGAGGGGGAGGGGTTCAGATGATGCTTTATCGATAAGAAATGTTAGAAAACGAATTTTAGACGTTATTTAGCGTTTTAAAAAACAGTTTTAATAAATTATAATAGGAATTAATTAAAATACTATATTTTGACATATTTCAGACAAGATTTTGGAAAAATATCGATGTTTAAAAAAAAAATTCAACTGCAATTTTGAGGGGGGGGGGGGGGTGGAGGCTGAGGTGTGACGTCATTTTATGGGGGGGGGGGGTCTGACATTTTGTGACGACGTATGACGGAGGGGAGGTAAAAATCGTCAAAAAAAGCGTGACGTCATTTATGGATGACCCCTTATCCATTGTAAAACAGCTCCTTATAGGTTCATTGATGGTGACTTTTGTTTTGGCGATTTTTATCCCCACTCTGAGATTACTTATTTTTTAGTTGTCATCCCAATGTTTCTTAAACCATCGATTTCTTTTTATATATCTGCTGGACTCTGTCAACGTTGAGTAGGCATATAATCTAGGTTTAGTTGGTATTCAAGTTCGATTAGCCTACAATTAACACAGAACTATATGAGTAACGTCTTTTAAAGAACGCAGTAGCGAGGGGGGGGCGGGGGGGGGACATATGTCCCCGGGCGCCGACCTTAGAGGGGGGGCGCCAAATTGAAAGTTTGAGGGGGGGTGCAAATCGAAAGTTTGAGGGGGGGGGGTGCAAATGAAAAGTTCGAGGGGGGTGCAAATCGAAAATTTGCTCCCAAGGGGGCGCCAAATTGAAAGTATGTCCCCGGGCGCCGGGAAGGGTCGCTACGCCTCTGAAAGAACGCGGAAATACTGTGTGTGTATAACAAAAATACTGCTCACTTTACACACACTAGCTAAGGCAATGCCGCTGACGAGAAAATCGGACAATATAGGCTTTTCTCTACCCCCTGCATGTTGAACACCTTTTTTTTGCATGCTTTTATGGTGTTTATATTAACATATCTTATATCATTATTTTCGCAATTGAATCAGCCTCTAAACTGTTGAAGTTCGATTTCAATAGCGTTGAAGACGTTGCCGAGTTAATTGCAATTTACCCCCCCCCCCCTCGACGTGCCGATTAGGTGGAGGCTTTCACCTTTTTTTTTTTTTAAAAAGGGGGAGGAGTTGTTACTTTTAGTCTATAGACTCTTCGAGTTTTCATTCATCAACAGTGAAACTTGGCAGGAATTCACATTAGATGTAGACGTATACAGCGCAGGGTTCCATTGTCAAAATATATTAATTAAACGAGCTGAATCACGACGTAATATATAGTGTTTCTTCCAGACTTTTTTCTCCGGGGGGGGGGCCCGAAGGCGGGGGGGGGGGCGGTAGACTTTCTTCGGGGGGGGGGGGCGGACACTGTTAAAAGTATATATTTTCTATATAAATTATATAAATTTCATTTCGTTCGGGGGGGGGGGGCAGTAGAATTTTTTCGGGTGTCTTCGCCCCCCTTCCCCCCCCCCCCCCCCCGAAGAGATGCCTGGAAGAAACTCTGGTAATATACGCCGCTATTCAGTTTAATTCCTATTTTTCAGTAATTCATAATTTGTGAATTCGACAATATGCTGTAACTGAAAATATTTTGCTTTAAAACACTATCGTGAAGGACGATTATCCTCACCCTCACTTTCCACTCCTCCCCCTATATATAGTTTAGCTAAGTTTCCCGGGTTAGTTAAAGACCAGCAATTTCAGCTTCAATATTCAAGTTACTTACACTTACTTTTCTGTTTAAATTTTTTATTTTCCGAAAAAGGCGTATACTTTCCCCTAAAAATGCTTGCACCCCCTCTGCATACGCCACTGTTCCACCCTCCATCGGAATATGGTGTCGTCGATGAAGGACCCCCCTAATCTAAAAAGTGAACTCATAAAAAATAAGTAGAGGTGAGTTACAAACCCACAAAAAGACGAGTTGTGTGACCAGAGAAAAAGCTTGCTAGAAATAAACCATCCATTGGAGAATAATCTTCTATTATTAAACCAAACAGAAATACTTGGATCGTCACTTTGAGAGCTATAATTTGTTGGGAAATCTCCCCCCCCCCCTTCCCCCCCCCCTATTTATATAAAAATGAAAGAATGTCTATGGGTGCGTGTTTTTTTTTTTCCCTTATTATGCATTACTACACCTTTCATCAGCTCGCAATGTAACTTTGGGAATTGTTGAGTAGGCATATGCCCCAAGGAAAGTTTCTGCGAAATAATTTATTGGCCGAGGATGTGTGTTCGTTTGTATTTGTGTTTGATTGCAAGTGTCTGATTGCGTAAGTGCAAGATTGAGGTATGTGTGTGTTTGTATTTGCTCGTGAATCAAGTATGAATATTTTATTCGCCAGAAAAATATTTGCGTCTGGATTTAATCAAACAAGGATTAGACAGGAAACTCATTTTGTTGTAAGTAAAGCTCAATCTCTATAAGACTATAAATCCTATTGCTTTAATTACACAGGAATGCTAGTTATTTCATTTATATCACAAACTGGATTGAAAGGGAACACCTTAACATAACGTTATTTCTAGCAATAAACTAGTTTATATCAGAGGCGTAGCGAGGGCGGGGCGGGGGGTGCGAACCGCACTGGGCGACACCATTTAGGGGGGGGGGGGTGACACCAAGCCAAATAATTGCAAAATGTACAGAAGAAAAATGCCTTAATTTATCCAGATCCATTAGATATTGATTAAATTAAAGTTAAATAGTCTTTTAAGTGCAAATCGACAATTATTACAAGAGGGTGGGTGTTGACACCATGACGTAAACGTGCTAACTATAAAGACTGTATTACAGACTTTAGATAAACATCCTTACTACTAAGTCTGCAGTGATTAAAGCACACACACACGTACATGTACCCGTGGCCGTATGTGGCATATATATTGAAATTATATGTTTATGTAGGCCGACACACACACACACACACACATATATATATATATATATATATATATATATATATATATATATATATATATATATATATATATATATATATATATATATATATATATATATATATATAAACTTTGTTTCTTGAGGAGGGGTGACATCACGAAGTAAGTGTCGCTCCGGGTGACACCCGACCTAACGACGCCACTGGTTTATTTTTAATGCTCACTTGCTGCTTAGCAAATGTAGCTGTAAGTTAAGTTATAGTTATGTTAAGTTATAGTTAAGTTATGAAAAATAATGAAATTTAATAATAACACTGCACTGGAATTGATTAAATAATAGTTTATTACAACAAATGGAGGTTTTACTGTTATTGCGCATCTGACAAAACAAATATTTTCAAAGATTTAGAAGCAACGCTAATTATTACAAAACTCATGAATCCCTTGTTTAATATTTCACTGAATTCTTAGATAGCTTTAACAGTCGTCCACCAATCCTATAGTTGTAAAGACCGTCCATTACGGCATTTTTAAACTAGAAATATCGGCCGTCTTCTACGTCACTGTTAAAACTAGCAATGACGACCGTCTACTATGTCACTAGTGAACCTGGCTATAATAGCCGTCCACTACGTCACATTATAATTATAACCTACCTAAAATGGCCACTTCGTTATTTGCAAATTAGTTAATTAATCTTCTAATTAAAATTCCTTAGCAAGAAAATTTTGAAATGAGCAATTATTACAAAGGTCTAGACGTTCGATAAATGATGTGTGTCGTACTACCATTGGTATCTTTTTAATGTTAAGCTTGACATACATAGGCGGATCCAAATGATAAGTAAATGGGTGGAAAGGCTAGTGGTACTTTTAACAGTCACTTTCCGGTTAAGGTTTTTATTTTGGTCCCATTCATTTGATGTCGAAACAGTTAAATTAGTATGTAAAGCCACGTGGCAATTTACTTTCTTAACTTTGAATGGGTATATTTCAATATCCTAGATTAAAATAACCTTTTAAACTCTTTTCCATCGATTTTGGGCATCCCCATAGGTCGACGCCGGGGCGGCCGCCCCATCTACTCTCCCTTAGCTACGCCACTGAGACAAAGGACTGAGGATGTTTAAAATGAAGTGAGCATATAGTATACTGGGACGGGATGGTACAGCTCTCGACTGCTGATCTGCAAGTCTTGAGTTACTGTCCCTGGTTAGAGTTGCTGCACGTCCCTTATTAAACATTTAAGTACATAGCAAATTGTATAATGCAAAGCATGTTGAAAAAATAACACAGTAACATAAAATTAATATATATAATTTATTTTTCATTGTCTATTTTTTGGCAAGTTTGTTTATTTCCTCTTCTATTTCATGCATATTTTTCAGCATATCGTTGACCTTGTTTTCATTCATTTCAAATCTCACAACTTCTGGTCCCTGAAAATAAATAAACTGCAGAATGAATTTTAAAATTATGTAGATTTATATACATGCATATACATACACATATATGAAATGTATACTCATATACATATCCATCATATATCCAGCCAGAAAATTAAGAGAAAATCAATTATTGTGCCCCATTAAGGTTTAAGGAATGATTGATTGAACGATTCTTTAAAAATGCAAAGTTTTGTATTTTTACATCAACAGGCATCACAGTATTTGGTTAGAAGGCAGACTAACTCGTGTTATCTCCCCTTTAAAATTAATGGATGATACCTAAGTATTATGGTCTCCAGAAAAATCAACTTCATTTTAATTTGTGTGGGTGTCTCTGACTCTGACCAAAACTTAGGACTTTGTTAATGTGGTTAGCAGGGAATGAAAAAATATTGTTGCCAATTTTAGCTAGAAATTTTTTTTTGACTCATACCCCTGGGAGTTATGACATATATGTCAGTATAGTCTTTTTCCTTTTTGAATCTCATGGCCAATGGGGTAAGTGAACTTCAGTTCATCTGATTCTGTGATCTAACTATACGAAGGGAAAGTATGGTCAGCACTATGCCTAGTAGCTTTTATTTTCCTTAACATGAGTTAGGTACCCATCAGAGCTGGGTGGACTCTTGGATGTTCTACTGACTTGAACCCAGATTTGAACTCTGGATTTGGAGTTAGCAGTCATATGCTATCCACCAGTATGAGGATATAAAATATGATAAACCTGTATTTAGTGGTAAACAACAATTACAGCCTAGTTTTTAAAAAAATTATTCAAAACAAAATATTTTTTTACAAATCTGTATTCATAAACTTAATTTTACCTCAACAAAAGTGGAAGCAAGCAAAATAAAAAATTGATAGTTACCTTTGATTTATTTAAATTGTCTGCTAAATGAATCTCCATGATAGCAGTTGGAATATTTATTTGTTCAAGGTTACGTGACTGAGATTTCAAATCCACACGCCAGGACACTTTCTGCAGAGTGTTTCCCCACATGGTTTGTGAGACTATGCTATCGTGAATTTTAGCCTTGTTAGCTTTCCAGAATTTCCTAAGAGCAGCAGCTTGCTCTTCAGAAAGACCACCCTCCTTCTTTCTTATCTGGGCAGAAAGGAATGCTTCTAGCTGAGTCATGTCCATGTCAGCTGATACCATATTCTGCAATGATATCAAAATATATTTAGCTTTGTTAATAGCGAGTTGCGCAGCTTGCGCCGTGACCTTTGTTGCCATGGTAATCATGGCTGTACCTTGAACCTAAATTCCATGTTTCCGGTTGCCCATTGGTAATTAAGGCCATGTCGCTTAAGGCGAAACCACAGCACACCTGATCTACGCATGTCGCCGTGCGCATCTTTGTTTTAACCTCAAGAGGATTTAGATTCCAAGCCTATTTTAATTTTTGGATCTCGTTTATTATCTTACAGAGGAGCAATGTGCTGAAATATAAGGTAAGAATCTATAAATAATAAGGTACTTAATATTTACATTGACAAGCCCAAATGTTGACTAGACTAATAATTAGGTCTTCTAAAATTAACCTATTAAATTACGATTTCAATGGTCCGCAAGCCTAGGAAGGCTCACCGCGATAGAGCCTTAATTTCGCGCCAAATTTCCTGTGATTCTTACATTATTAAAATATCGCATTACTTGATTACTATTAGTATTACTATATAATAATTTAGTTTAAGTAGCCTACATTACATTTAATAAATTATTACGGTTGATTAGGACAATTAGGTCTAACATTAATTTAATTTTAAGATTTTTACACAAGTTGACTTAAATTTTGATCTAGATTTCTAGATCTAGACTCTAGAAAATAGAAAATTTAGACTCTATTATTATATTATAGTAGTAAATACTAAATAGACCTAGAATAGATCTAGATCTAGATGATATTATTAATAAGATAGATAGCCTAATAGATTCTCAGTGATTCTGGATTTAGAAAAACGAATCCAGATTACTAGCTCTATTGATCTAGAATCTAGTAAAAAATAATCTAGCTTTAGGCCTAGATCTAGTTTAATTCTAGATCTAATTTAATCTATCTATAGGCTAATAGGGCCTACACTAATCTAGATTCTAGTAAGAAATAAAAGGTGCTAGTTAATTAATAATTTTGATATAGATCTAGATTCTAGATTTAGACCTAGATCTAGAATCTAGATAAGTTAATTAATTATATAATTATATAAGTGTTCATCTAATTCTGCATTAAGTATTAAGTAGGACTAGGCCTATATCAATTCATTAATTAGCCTATTTATTTTAATTCAGTACATTTAGTAGATGAACACAATCATTTAATCATTATGTTTGATTAGGTCATACAAGTACTAGTCTAGATATAGATCTTGTAAAAATAGTGAGACATTGTTAAATGGTTAAGAATAGATTTAGACTAGTGCAGGTATAATTCTCCATCAAGTAGGCCTATATATTTAAATTAATGTAGGCCTATGTAAATATCCATAATTAGGCCTATTAAGGACAATTTTAGTACTTGATAATTTTATTAATATTAATTTAATTCTAGACTTGTGTGCCTAGAACTTGGGTCAGTTTGTTTTCTTTGTACATCTTATTTGCTTATAGGCAAGACCAACAAGGTGTAAGAAGGATTGCTAATGTAATCAGAAACTTGATGGCTGAGATAAAGCGGCTGAGGAGAACAGGCTTGTGACTGGGAATAGGTTGGTGGAACTTGTGTACAGCCCTTTCTATGTTCAACCCATGTCTCAGGTGGAAGTACATTCAGTAAGTATGGAGACTGAATTTATTTCTAATGTTTCTATTTATTTTATAAAGTTTGCAATATGTTGTGCTAGATATATATTTTGTGAAATGGTCTGCTAAATTCTAATTCCATTTGCCCTTCTCTTTTCAGGTACAGTTTTCATGGAGATCCAGCTTTATTCAAGGCTCATCTTAAAGAGAATGATGTAGCTGCTGGGACATAACTAAAATCTACATTCAACTGCTTGCAGATCTCAAGAAGCCTGGGGTTCTCATACAGCGCTGCAAGCACTCAGGCTGATTGGGAAGTTAATTTCTGGTCCTTTGATAAAGCTCATTTACAAGAACGCAATGTGGCGATCAAATGTACTCTGTTTCTTAAAGTCATGGAAGCGTTGTTGACTTCTACTGAGCCTTTCTTGGTGCGGCAGCTGGAGAGGTATCTGATGGGAAATCTGATTGGTGTTCAGCTGGTGGGAGCAAGGTGATCAGGGTGTGTCGCAATACAGTGGAAGGACTATTAAAAGACTGCCAGCAACAAAACAAAAGTCAGCTCTTTACACCATAAGCTACTGGGCAGAGGATGAGGATAATGCTGAGGATTTCAGTCGTCGGGCAGAATCACTGGTGGTTGACTTTATAGGAATCTTGTTTTTCTTTCTGAATAATAGCTAATCAGAATTTCAGAGTACTTCTTTCATTTTTAGTATAAAAATGAACTTTATTTTTTAAACATTAGTGTTTTTGTAAATTGTTACTGAAAAAATGATTGCTGTGAATTGTAAACTTATTTTGAAAACTAATACTAGCAATGTTTATAATTAAGTTTAGTGTTCATAGTGTAAAAAAAAAAAATTACATTTTAATTAATTACTAAACTTATTTTTCAGGGTAATTGAAATCAGCTAGATAATACTAGAATCAGTAGTCAATGTGCTTCTTTTCCTTAGATGTGCTAATTGTATCTAAAGATTAATTATAATTGATACTTTAGAAAATTGTTTTAACACTAAAGAGACTAAAGTGGTGCAAGAAATTTTTCGTCACCTATTTTTTTTCCAGCATACATTCAATAAATGGGTTAGATCTAGATCTACTAGTAATTATACTTTAAACCAATATTTTAATGTTTATTCCTTGATAATTAATACTACTTTTCTTCTTAAGAGGGATCGTAATGAGAAGAGGCTAATTTCTTGATTATGTAACTGTTTTACAGTACTGTGTTGATCGTAGATTATACAAGGGCTAAATTTAGGTTGTCACTATGTAATTTATTTCTTTGCTCTTATAAACATATTTTTAAATTATTGCAAAAAATTTTTTTTTTTACTTTGCCATTCTCCTAAATGTTTCTATTTTATTAGACAAAATTAAAATTCATGTGGTAATCTGATTACTGTATTTTAATAATTTATATTTCTTTTAGCAAACATTGAAATGTCAGTATGCATAGTTCAGTAGTAATAAACACTGGTACACACTTTGACAGCTGTTTTCTTTTTATTTTGTTCGATAATTTTATTATGGCCTCCTGATATAGACACTGAATATCAAGGGGGGGGGGGGGGTTGAGAAGGTATCGTAAAGGCAACCAGTTGCTACTTCCATTTTCCATGTGGTGTGTGTGTAGGTCTACTCTACTTCATCTACCCAAGTAATATCGTTCATTACAAGTACATTAAAGAACTTGTGAAGTAATATGTGCTTATGCATTTCTATTATGTAATAGTAGTAACAGTATTAAATATTAATAAATCGATTTACAATAACTAGATCTAGTTTATTTTAAACCTACATTAATTTTTTTACACGGAGTAATAAGTCAATAATAATATATGAATCATGAATGGCATTAAATTACTCAGTCAATCATATCCAGTCCAGTATAACTTAGGCTTTAAGCTTGATTATAATTTTTTAGTTTAAAAAAAATGCGAATCCCGGATGATGCAATAAAATTATAATTTTTTAATTTTTCGAAAAATGCGAATCCGTGATGATGCAATGAAAAAACCATCGGTGCCAACTTTTTTGTTTATGTAACATTGACTTGAATGACGAAGGTCTAAGCTGTTTTAGCCACGCCCACAAATTTTTAAAAGGCCATATCTTAGCTCCTAATTAAGCTAGAGACACAAAATTGGTATCAATGTGTAGGGAAAAAAATACTGTTTTTTTGTGGTATAATTTTATTTGAAATTAGTGGAGTTTAAAAATTACGAGCAACAGCCTATTGTTAATGGGTACCAACATTATCTAAGCAAAACATCAGCTTCAGTATTTGCATGGAAATATACTTTAATAATAATACCCCTAACAGTAGGCCTACTTCAGGTATTGCTCAATTTTTTAAATAAAAAACTGCAATGAGAGGCAACATATTCTGAGGATTTTAATTGAAAGAGCAATACTAGTTAGCTAATAGTGAAGAAGCACCATGCCCAGCAGAATAAGTTTCTTATCAAAGCTGGGTGGACTGTGATTTCTCCTCTCTAATGAATTAAGAGTAAAGTTCCCTTTTCAAACCTGACGGTCTATAGGGCAAGTGAAGTAGAGTTCACTTGTTTCTGTGACCTCGGCATATGAAGAGATAGTGTGGTCAGCACTATGCCCAGCCGCCTTTACTTTCCCTAATGCGAGTTAGGTACCCATCAGAGTTGGGTGGACTCAGGGATGGTCTACTGAATTGAACCCGGGTTCAAACTCGAGACTTGCAAGTTAGCAGTCCAACTCTCTACTGCTTGACCACTCCATCCCCTCTCTAATGAATTAGCAAGGCCTAAATTTATATATCATAATATATAGGCCTATAGTATATACTACTACTAGTATATACTATATACTATATACTATAATATAAACTATAAATATTAAATAATCATATTCATAGGTCATAGGCCTACTAAATTACTAGGACCTAGAATAAATTTTATTTTTAAAGTCAAGATGGTAAAGCATTTTCAAAACATGTATTCTTAATAGTAAGGCTAACTTCTAACAAGCAAAACTCACAACTAACTAAAATAGATCTAGATCTATCTAGTATCTACTTATCTACTATATTGAAAAAAGTGGGAGGTGTCACTGCACTGCGATATTTTTTTTCAATTTCGGTTCATTTTGTTTGGTGGACTTCTTCAACTTACTTTTAATAAACCCGCTATTCTGGAATTAAGACGATTAAAATCATCTTGAGATGCATTAGGATAAATTTCCTCTTTAAGGACATCATCTGTTAACTCCGTGTGTCCGTGATAATATCGACGAGAAAGTCCTGTTAACAAAGCTAAGAAACATTTTGGATCATCAACCATTTTTTATGTCATGTGACTATTCATGGGCATTCACCCATGCTTATTTTAGCATTTAACATTTATCAAGATTAATAATAATATAGTTTAATTTTATCGTGTTAAAAGCAGTTTATTAAAGGTCTCTTATCTATTTAAAGAATCTTTTACGTCTTATTTTATGTAACGGTTACGTATTACATTTAGATCTATATTTTATAGATCTCTTCTAATCTATATTTAGACTTGTAGTTATTTTTAGTAACTAGAATAGTTCTAGGCCTACACTCATTCCGTTTTCATTTTGATGTTTGTTGTTTTTCAGATTGAAGATTTAAAATGGCAGCTTCCATACAGTCTAAGCAGCTTTCCAACGTCTCTTTTGAACAAGAACAAGACGCTAATTCGGCATTGACCGAGCTAGATAAAGGTTTCATTTGCGCAAATTTATAAAGATTCTAGTAATTCTCTAAAATCAAACCAAACTAATAGTGTAGAGTGTAGACTACTAGATTTCTAGAATCTACTAAGTGTAGACAACAGTAAACGTAGCTTTGTGGGTCAAACGAAGAGATAGGATTAGGAAGGGGAGGGAAGGGAAGGGGGTGTTGTATTAAGAAATTTGCTTAGAGACCTAATTTATTATTTAAGTATTAATTTATGAAGTTTGGAAATGCTCTTGAACAGTGAATTAGCTAGATGATAAAGAATTGTTTAATTTTTATTTAACTAATTAGTTTTTACGAAGTGTCTACTCGGAAGATTTTTCTCCCCAACGTCTCCACTTAGTCGGCAAAAGATAGCTCTGCGCATGCACAGTGACCAATGGCTAGGGTTAGGGCTAGAATTAGGGATAGGGTTAGGGATAGGATTAGGGATAGGGTTAAGGATAGGATTAGGGTTGGTGTTAAGGTTCTGCGGTTGTAAACACACGCATGCGCAGTACCATCGACAACATCGCCGTAAAGGCAAGTCGTAGTTTCTCTCCATTGCGCATGCGTATCGCATGCCGGCTAGAATCGGCCTAGTTTTTAACTGAAAAAAACATGGTAATTTATCGTTTTAGGTACGTAAAATCGCCCGCGACTAGTAATGTGAAAAACAGGCGACTCCTTACATTTTAATAATTATTTCACATTTTGAGGAGGATTTATGTTTTGAAAAATACAAAAATGTTTCCTTGTTTCATTTATGTACCAGTTTTTAAACAATTGAATTAAAACTTTTCACTAATAAATGAACACCAGCGATGTTTCCAACAGATCCAACCATGCTCATTTACTATAACAGCCATCTTGTTAAAGTTTTATTTTTATAGACTTATAGCGCAAGATTCAGGCGGAAGTCACTCTATTTTACAAATGGCTGCTGTTTATATAGCAAATCTTGCTTGCAGACACTGCTGTTTAAAGTTAATTTCTGGCCTATATTGATATATTTAGCCATTGATTTAGGTTTATTATTCATTTATCTATAATATTTGACACAAACATATCACAATATACTTCTATTACAGCCTTGATAATGAGGTAACGTTTTCGTACATTAATAGCCGCGGGCGATTTTACGTACCCAAAACGATAGATTACCGTGCAATATTTGGATTTGGTATCACCTTCCACAATGGTGTCAACCAGTGCAGCTTGCACCCCTTCTTCCCTCACAAATGTTCTCCTTTTGACACTACCAGTACTCTTTCTTTACTCTTTGAATTTTAATATTTAAAATAATATTTTTCAGCTTTGCGCTCAGGCCAGATTGGTATACAATGTGAAGCTGTGGTAAAATTTCCAAGATTGTTTGAAAAATACCCTTTCCCAATTCTAATTAACTCTGCTATGCTGAAAATTGCTGATGTTTTTCGTGTGGGGTAAGGCACTGTTATTTTCAAGCTTATTAGAATATTTATCCATAATCAAGTGGCTTATATTTGGTTTGGTTTTTCTAATGAATAAAAATATGAGATTAAAATGAATAGCTATGTGCAATAAAATAATTCTAAAAATTAAACTTTGCATATTTTTCTTTCAGGAATAATTTTATACGCCTATGTATATTGCGAGTCACACAGCAGAGTGAAAAGCATCTAGATAAAATTTTTAGTGTTGATGAATTCACTAGAAGAATATTTGGAGTTATACACAGCAATGATCCAGTAGCAAGGGCCATAACTCTAAGGTAATACTGCATTTCATTATTATTACTGGGTGATCAATTAATATATTGGTCACACATGTAAAACCTCAAGACCAAAAAGATCAAAGTTAAAGGAAATAAACAAAACATTCTATACATAGCTTATATTATTTAATAAATCACATCACAGCAGATACATTTTTTTAAATGAAAAAAATTCTCTTTGTAAGCTACACGTTACACACATATTTTTAGTATGTAATGAATGTATGGTTTTGAAAAATATTTTCCTGAAAACTTTTCAGAACACTTGGTAGTGTTGCCAGCATTATTTCAGAAAAGAAGAATGTTCACCACAGCATTATCCTTTGCCTTGATTCCCATAATGCCGTTGAGGTGGAGGCTGCAATATTTGCTGCAGAAAAGTTCTCAGAAAAATCAAAGTAAGCAACTTTCTTTCAGACTAACAATTGCATTAGAAAACAAAAAGTGACCCATCTTAGCTGTGTTTGCTTCAACTTATCAAGTTTCTGTCCTGGTCCATTCTGGTTGTAAGACCCAGCTTGGTGTTTGTTTCAAATTCTCCTCTCCAGAATTAATTTGAGAGTCTTTTTGCCACTAGTGGAATTCTAGCTTTCACATAGAGCTGATCACTTTAATACAATCTTCTGTCCTAGGATGTTTGCTGCCAGTGTTTGCAGTAAAATTGGTGCCATGATTGCTGGTCTGTCAACACCCACGGAGATGAAACTGCGCCTCATTCCCATACTGCAGCATATGCATCATGACACAGAAACAGCCACAAAGGTTTGACAACTTATTCAAATGTGTTTGTCTTTCCTTCTCCCTGATCATAAAATTATTTTTTGTTTTTTTAATGTTGGAGTTTTGATTTGTGTATGTATTGTTTTCATTGTAAAAATACAGCAAAAAATTTGAATAAATTCACATGGTTGCAAGAATTTCTAATAGTTTTGATATAAGTTAAGTTTGTCTCAAAATATGCTAATGATGAAATCGTGTTTTGAAATGCATTTTCCTTTTTAAATGTCTTGTTAATTTTGTAAATATCGATGTATTATAAATTCAGGACAAATAATGAAAATCTTCATGACACTAAAGTTTGACTACTCAAAATAAGCTTTGAAAACATAGTACCTACTGTGTGTCATGTCAAGATGATGTATATTTTATTTTATTTACATGTCTAGGCTATTGACTTATGCCAGTCTGTGTTGACGAGCTACCCAGCCAGGAAGTTTGTTGTTCTAACCCTTCAAACACTGACACAGCTAACCATAAAAACACTGCTCAACCTACAAGACCAGGTCTTGAGACTTCTGTCCTATCTGACCTCTGACCCGAGAAATGTTATCAAAGCTGTTTGTTTGGATAACTTGAAACTTTTAGCTGTCAGAGCAGCTTACTTGTGGACTGCTCCAAACTTAGAGGTAGACTTTTTACACATACATTTTTTATATTATCTATATATATAATTCTGTATGTCACCCAACCATGCGGGACACCACCACCACGCATGCAGACTCTCTAACCCTCCTCCTGCCCCCTCCCTTGCTCCCCAGGGATGCGCAACAGACCATATCGCTATCACCCCCACCAGTTTGGTGAGCTGTGGTTCATGCAGAATGTTTACAATTGTAGAGCCGAGTTGAATTATTGACGGCTATTAGGGGCAGATAATTAATAGTTTTAAAACTATTTGAAACTAAGGGGAGATAACAAGTTCTGCTTGATCTTTTCATTGTTGTCTGTAAGCTGACAGCTGCTTTCATGGGGGGGGGGGGGTGAGAATAATCGTCCTTCACAAGCTACTGATAGAGTTTTAAAGCAAAATATTTTCAGTCACAGCATTGGTAGTGTCGAATTCACAAATTATGAATTACTGAAAAGTAGAAAATAAAACAATAATGGTACGCCATGTGTTGGCTTGTCAATTTGGACCTCCATTGAAGCTCTTCACAGTCTTCTGCCACTCTTTTCAGCTTTATCCAGCTCTGTCCTATACATTTAGCCAGTATGTTGTCTGCAGATTATTATGTAGTAGTTTTATAGAAAATCATGAAGAGGAAATGGGTATGGATTGGGCACATGCTTAAGAATTGACGCTGACAAGACGCAAGGTCAACCCAGCAAGACAGGAGGCCAAAAGGAGAAGTTGGAATTGGGAATAGCTGAAAAGAGTGGCAGGAGACCATGGGGAGTGGAAAGCTTTGACAGAGACCCTATGTCCCATAAGGAACCAAAAGGAAAAATAATGATGATGTAGCATGTTGATGTTTTATAATGTTGATGGTGTTTTAAATTAATATAAAACTCGAAAGCTTTGAAATGCTGTTCAATTACAAAGTAATCTGGGATTATCCTGTTCTTAGATTTAGGTCAGATATGCAAATTAGTCAGTTCAATAAATAAAAGTTTCCCTTTCAAACCTGACGGTCTATGGGGCAAGTGAAGTAGAGTTCACTTGTTTCTGTGACCTCGGCATATGAAGAGATAGTGTGGTCAGCACTATGCCCAGTCACCTTTACTTTCCCTAACAGGAGTTAGGTACCCATCAGAGTTGGGTGGACTCAGGGACGGTCTACTGACTTGAACTCAGATTCGAACTCGAGACTAACGGGTTAGCAGTCCAGCTCTCTACCGCTAGACCACTCCGTCCCACCAGTTTAATAAATAATAGCTTCAAATTCTTGAAAAATACTTTTGGTATAATTTTGAATAAAAAATGAACTTTATTAAATTGCAGGAAGTGGCTAAGTTTGCACTTCAAACAACTTCTTCTCATCTAAAAGTCAAGGCTGTGCGTGTGTTAAATGCTGTCTTTGGGAATGTGGCTGTAACCCTTGTGACACTTCCTTCAGGTTTGTTTCATTTATTGTGCTCAGCTTTTTCAACAACCTACATTTTACTGATGGTTCAGACTCACCAAAATTGTCACATTCATTACTTATTATTATAGTTCTTATTTCAGGGGAAATAAGTAATAATAAAAGTACATAGATGCTGACTTCAATATAGCCATGTAACTTGAGAAGCTCAAACTTAAATCCTATCTTTTTCACATTTTGTGTGTCTAAAGTATTTTTGTCAAAAATAGTATTTTTTTTTCTTAAAAATGACCACTCAATGTAATGTGCATTTGAGAATACTCGTTATCTATTTCTACTGTTATTTACAGAAAGTGTTCTATTTTTAGACAGTTTAATCAATTTATGTTTTCTTTTATCTAGATACAGCTGTCCTTGATGTTTGTCGAGAGTTCTGCTACCACTCCAGTACCGATCTGGCAACTCAAGCCATCCAGCTTCTCACTTACCTGGCCAAGTTTAAATGTAAATTTTGTTACCTTGTGATAATATATTCACCCTCTAGAATAATCAGCACCCTGAAGTAAAAACTATTTCTTCTGAATTATTATTAAGAAGCAGGTTTACGAGTGATTCTTCACTTCTTTACTTTATGTAGCCAGAAATAACACCCAAACAAATTTAATTATGCAAATGGCATATGCTGATAACTTCTGCTTGAACTAAAAAAATAAAGTTTCCTTCTAAAAAATAACAACCAATTATATATCGTTATATAAAATCTATGTAAACGGAAATGTGTTTTCTTGAACTCATTGTAGGTATACCTGGAGATTTAACAGCTGAAGCTGTTGGTGCCATCCAGACCCTAATCATTCTACTGGCTAGTGACTTGGAGAGAAAAAATCTGGTCTACCTAAAGATTGTCCTGAAATGTGCGGTGGATGTGTGTCACAGCTACCCTGATGTCAGTGACAAAATAGTCCAGACTTTGACAAGTTTGTTAGGGACATCTGAAGGTAGAGTTGCTGATTTATTTGATTTAATCTAGTAGAAAGCTTAATACATTCCCCCAAATGTTATGTCAGTGACAAAATAGTCCAGACTTTGACAAGTTTGTTAGGGACATCTGAAGGTAGAGTTGCTGATTTATTTGATTTAATCTAGTAGAAAGCTTAATACATTCCCCCAAATGTTATGTCAGTGACAAAATAGTCCAGACTTTGACAAGTTTGTTAGGGACATCTGAAGGTAGAGTTGCTGATTTATTTGATTTAATCTAGTAGAAAGCTTAATACATTCCCCCAAATGTTATGTCAGTGACAAAATAGTCCAGACTTTGACAAGTTTGTTAGGGACATCTGAAGGTAGAGTTGCTGATTTTTTTGATTTAATCTAGTAGAAAGCTTAATACATTCCCCCAAATGTTATGTCAGTGACAAAATAGTCCAGACTTTGACAAGTTTGTTAGGGACATCTGAAGGTAGAGTTGCTGATTTATTTGATTTAATCTAGTAGAAAGCTTAATACATTCCCCCAAATGTTATGTCAGTGACAAAATAGTCCAGACTTTGACAAGTTTGTTAGGGACATCTGAAGGTAGAGTTGCTGATTTATTTGATTTAATCTAGTAGAAAGCTTAATACATTCCCTCTTCTCTTCCCCCCCCCCCCCCCCCCCCCCCGCCCCATTTTTATGTCAGTGACCAAATAGTGCGCACTTTTACAAGTTAGTTAGGAGCATCTGAGAGTCAATTTGATAACTGCTGAATCTAATCTATAAAGCTTGTTATCTTCCACCCAAATTTTTAGAATCGGTTTTTAGTGTCTAGATAAGTGATCTAATTGAAAGTGTATGTTTAAAGAGCTAGAAATCTATTATTGTTGATAATCACGATTTGATTGAAATTCTTGGAAAAAACGTTTCAATTTATTTCTTGACATATATTTACATACTGTTTTTAACATACATTTATTTTGAAGTCATTGTTAATGTGCTGCTCCATGTTTACCAAACATTTGACAGAAACCAGCCAACTCCACCTGTGTGAGTGCCTGGCAGCCATTGGTTCCGAATGTCCAGCGGCATTAGATTTTGTCTCCCCACAGATTTTAGCCAGTCTGACCACAACAATCAGCCATGGGACGAGGGAGGTCTCACATGTTCAGGTACTGAGAATACTCAGACATTAAAAAATATTAAAGATAGGTGCGACTTTGGCATATCTGGTGGCTATTCTAAATCGTGTCTGCTGGCCAGTAGGTTGTGGCTATTTTATAGTTACACCAGGGACCCTGGCAGTCACCGTAGGACATCCCAATTCATTAACTCTTGTGGGCTGGCTATACAATCACCATATATACCACAGCTAAATAAAAAAGTACTTTATTTACTATACTACTATGTCAACCGTCCTCAAGAACTAACTAAAACATTAACCATTAGGGCATCCCAGTTCATTTAACCCTTGTGTGCTGGCTATACAATCACCATATATACCACAGCTAAATAAAAAAAAAGGACTTTATTTACTATACTACAATATGTCAACCGTCCTCAAAAACTAACTAAAACACAAACCATTTCACTGTATTTTACATGTAACACACTTATTGTTGTTTTAGGTCCATATGTGCACGCTGTTGTTTCAAGCTGGTTGCCAGAAGCCTATGAGTGCCCCAATCTTTGGCCAGGTGATGGCGTGTATCAACCAAGCCAACCCCTGGATCGCATACAAAGTAGCTCGACAAGCCATGCGGTACTGTCAGTACCAAGTGGCATATGCCATCCTCAAGTCTTTAAACCTTAAGGTAAAACATTGCATTGGTACAAGTTATGTTGAGACTTCGAAGAATGTGTTGGGGATGGGGGGGGAGATGAACTGTAATAAAGAAGCTTACTTTGAATGTTTTAAAAAAGAATAATATATACTTGTTTAAAAACTAGATTTTTTTTTAAAGAATTTTTTGTTCCGGAAAATTTAGCTTGGTTTATTCAAATTAGCACATTTAAGAATTTCTCATATTTTAGTTCAAGCTATACCCCCCCCCCCTGAAAATTTTAGTGCCCCCCCCCCCCCCCCACCTTCCCCAACCCCCACCCCCACCGGAGAAAAAAGTCTGGAAGAAACACTGCTTACAGCTGTATGATGTTTTATTTGGCAGTTTATGTAACTTTTTATTTTTAAATGAGAAGAACCAGCACAGGTTGGGTCAATTTGCACCTATTACTGTACATTGCAATACTGAAAATCATTTGAGAATTGGGCAAAAAGTCATTTATTGCTATTTTTACAGTAGAATAAATTTAATTCAAGTAAATACTTAAAAATCATGTCTTATAGGTGGTGACAGAAAATGCCCACTACTGGCTGCTGGGCCTGCAACATTCATGTGCTGCAGAGAATCACATCAAGCAAGCAAAGAGTGACAACTCTGATCTGTCAGCCTGCATCACAGATGCCCTGCAGATGTATGTCAAAAGTCACGTCACATTGAAGGTGAGGCCATCAGGGTTTTATACCATATGAACATCAGGTCACATAACTCGTTCAGTCATAGTTAACATTCAAATATAAGGTCTCAGGTCACATAACTCATTCATTCATAGTTACCATTCAAGTATAATATGAGCATAAAGTCACATAACTTTCAAGTACAGTTTGAGCATGAGATGGTAGGTGAGAGGCCATTTTAGTCATTGTTAATAACGTAATAAAATTTTTGGGTGTCAAATGAAACAGAACTTTGTCAGAATTTTCCACCACAAAAATTCAAACAAATTTATACTCACTACACACCTCAGTTATAGAGCTTAAAATCCTTGGTAAGTTGTGAAAAATAAATAAATAAAATTAGTACACATCTCAACTGTTTTCATTAGCACAGCACACAGTTACATTGCAATAATAAAAAAACAATCTCTGGAAATGATTAGTGCTGGATTTTTAACGTTTAAATAAAGAGCAAGTGAAATATTTTGTTTGTTTAGCAAGTGAATAAAATAGTTGAAGTTCTCCAATGATGAAGTAAAAAGGCAAAGTTCCCTTTTTGACCTGACAGCCTATGGGGCAAGTGAAGTAGAGTTCTCCTGTTTCTGTGATGAAGGGATAGTGTGGTCAGCCCTATGCCAGTGGAGAAGACATACTTTAAAAGCTTTACGTTGAAGTTTAATTGCTGGGGTTTTTTTTTATCTGTACCATGTTACAAGAAAGTCAGAATAAAGTATCGGAAAGCTAGTTAAAGTTTTATGCTTAAATCAGCAATAAATTCTTAACTGAATTTACAGGCGGCAAGCACACCAACTTACCCTCTAGAGTTTGCCAGCGACTATGTGAACCTGCGCATGCAAGTCCTCCAGGCTCATCACCTGCTCTTGCTGTCACGCTCATCTTTCTCTGCCAAACCTGCGCCTGCTATATCAACAGCTTTGGCTGCGACAAATGGTCAAGAAGGAACAAGATGGGCACAGGTGGTCATCCAGGTGAGGCTTTTAATTAAATAGATTAATTTTTCAATTCAGTTCTGACTTCTCACTGGTTTTAAGTTTGGAAAATTAAATTTAAAAATATTTAAACAACTTGGCATGCTAAGAGTTTCTGAACTTGTGTTATTTAATTAGAAAATAAAATTTTAAACTATTTAAATTGCTAAACAGACTGTTTCTAAAAATGTGTTTTAACTTGCTCAAGCTTTTTATTATGTACTACTCATAAAACTAAGACTTGTACAAATTTCAAGAAATTTTTTTATCAAATAAGTGTTGCCACTTAGGCCAATTAAATTTTTTAACTCCTGTACAATTTTTATTTTACCAGCTACAGAAATGCCTGAATGAGTACAAAGAGGCTAGCACATTAGCCTCTAACCTTTACAGATCTGCATTTGATGCTGATCCAGCCTCATTGCTCAACATAAATGTGTATCCTTTATGGTTACTTTGGGTTATTAAAAGAATTTACCATTACTTGATCTGTACATTTTTTTTTTTTCAAATTTCAGAAAACATTCTTCAGATTCAGAATTTTTAATGACAGCAAAGTTTAAAGCTACATTGTGTAAAAATAAATTTGTTAGTAAGCATGTTTGATTGGTTCCTTGACCAGTGACCCAGAATTCAGCAATGCTGTAACTGTATGAAGTCTGTTATTACAACAATCATCTCAACTATTCAAACAGGGTAAGGATACATGAAAACTGTGGTTGATCTTAGGAATGGCAATATTAGAGGTTGCTTTATTCCAATGCCATTCATTTCACAAAAATACTATTTTTACTGTTATACAATACTAAATGTATAGCTGAAAATACTAGAAAACAACTTAAACTTAGTTTCTGTGAATTAAATTTTTTTATGTTTATACATTTTATTTCCTCTTTATACATCTATTTTCTATTTTTTCTGGGTTTTTTTTTTTTACACTGTAGGCAGTGTAATTTTGGGGACAGACAATTCCTGACCCCATCAAAAAAGAATGAAGCTGGGGTTCAAACCTCCGGTGTTAGTGCCACCCTCAACATCATGCGTGACATTTCCAGTGCCATGGACAGGCTGCTACCAGAGAACAACTTGCCTGCTGTTATTTCATACAAGGTGCGGGCTTTACAATGCTTTATATCACACTTTAACACACAAAAAACTGTTTTCGTGTTGATTGGATTTATGCTTAATAGTGAGTTTAATAATAAGAAAAAATGAAAAGAAGAAAAACTAATTTGGTAATGTGTATTCTTTTACATGGTCTTTTTATGATGCTAATGTAGAAAAACTTTCTTGATTCCTTTATTAAAAACTGAAAAAAATTAAATATTTGTTAATTTTGGCAGTTGTTTCAACTTAGGTATAATTTCTTGAAGAATAAAATATTTGGGTTTTTGGCAGTTAAAAAAAAACAACTTATAACTGAAAAAAAAGTTATCTTATTAAAAAAAAACTAGATGTAAATAAACATGAAAAATTCAAATTTGGGACATTTCTTCAGAGAAATCTTTGTGAGAAGGCATAAAAATTGCCCATTTCTAAAAACCAATTTTAACTTTCTGTTAATATATTTTTTTAAAACTCACTGCTTGTTAGAAAAAAATACTTGAAATACCTTAATTTACCTTGGAGCAATTTCATTTTGCTTTAGTTTAAACAAGCTTTACAGTGTTTTTGTCTAAATAACTATTGAAACAAAGTTAAGTATGATAAGTTTTCTCTCCCTGCAGTTGATGGACATATTATCCACATCAGTAGAAGGATTTGTAAGAGCATCCCCAAGTTTTCCAAGATTTTTCTTCCAGACCATGCAAAACACAGTTGTGAAGGTAATCTTTGGTTAGCCATAAGAATATCCAGCCACATGTTTGGTAAACCAAGCAATCAAAATGCAATAGTTAATTGTGATTTTGATTTAGCCATCAGAATGTCTAGCCAAAGTTTTAAATGTTAAAAATACTAAACTTTTGGTCAGCCAGTGGAGCATTTAGACACTAAATATCAACACAAGCTAATAAAGCTATGGTTATGCAGTTTTGGTTATAACATTTTGCTTTGTAAAAACTAAGATAACAATTAAATTTGTGTCGCAAACCTGTATTGTGGGTATGTGTGCCTGAAAAAAAATTAATATTTTGTGTATGCTTAACTCAAAAAATGATTATACAGTAGTATATCTGTATGTGCGAATGGAAACCAAAAATTAGCGAGGTTTGTGTGTGTATTCACAAATTGACATTTAAAAAATCTGTATGTTTATGCTATATCTGTATGAGAATGTACCAAAAAGGAGGGTATGTTTATGTTGTATAAGTGTGCAAATGGACCCAAAAACAAGGGTGTGTTTTTGAGTGTGTGTCTATGGGAATGGGACACCAAAAATGAGTATGTGTTAGTACAACCCCATGTGATTTAGTGACAAAATGTGTTTTTCTTCTGTACCACAGCTGGCAGTGTCACCGCAACAAAGTCCCAACCAGGAGCCTATTACCCTGCGGGCTGACACACACCTTTCCTTGAAGGTTGAGGGTGTGGTCCAGCGAGGTGAACGGCCGGCGCTGTTCAGACAAGTCACATCAGTGACCATCTCAGTCAGTACAAATCTCACTAGCAGAAGTAGTGTGGTCAACACCAATGCAAAAGTAATTTTTTTTGTAGCTCTGAAATAGTTGAAAGGGTGTGTCACATGAGGAATTTGAAATGTATTCCTTTTAAAGGATTCTTTTGAATTAATTCAGTTTAGCAGTATTACCCTTAATCTGGCAAATTGTAATTTTAAGTGCAATTAAAATTTATAAAATAATATAAAAATTAAGGGTCGGCGTGGTCAAGTCGGTAAAGCTCTTGGTTGCTAAACAGAAAAGTCTCGAGTTTGAACCCTCGGGCAGATGAGGCTCGTTAGCTGGGGACAGCAACTCTTCTAGGAGTGACAACTCCAAAATCAAACAACTGCTGCCTTGTAGTATGTTCTTGGCTGGACAAAGGCTATGGAAGCAAATCCAAAAAGAAAAGCAGGCTGAAATTGGAGTCAACGGAGCATAACCAGTTGACACGTATACTTGTGTTCGAGGGGATCCCTTCCCACACTAAAATTAAGAAAGAAGAAAAAATAAAAATTCCTTTGAAATTGTTTTTTCATTATTTTTTTAAAAAAAGTACCAATTGTTTTATGAAGATTTGTGTTTATAATGTATATTCTGAGATATATTTTTTTCACATACACTTTTCAGGCAAATGAAACAACCAGCGTCCATTTGAGTCAAACAGTGAACCCACACAATGATTACTTTAGTACCAGCTTTGTTTTACCATTTCCTGTTTTGGGGATCCATGTTGCCAAGGTTAGTTTCTTGGTGGGCCAACAATATAAGTTATCTTAGAAATTAATCTTGTATGGTAAACCTGGTTGTTCAGTTTTTGTTTCAGGGTATATTTTCTAATAACTAAGGCAAATTAGGGTTACAGAAGCTAAGTAGTTTTCTTTCAGGCCTGATAGTCCTTGTGGTAGAGGTAATGTTTCAAATAAATGGGTAGTCAGCATGAACCCATCAAGGATAGATGAACATGATCCTGAGAACAAGATAATCAGGACTATATGTTAAAGTTCTTGAAGCACCCAAAAATAATTTTAAAATTCCTGAATATTGCAGGTTGAAGCCAGTGTTGTAGATGAGAATGGAGTAACTTGGAACACAGGACCTCGGACATCTTTAACTGTCAAATCGTATGATGACAGCCTCCAGCGACAACAGCAACAACAACAAATGCGTGCAAGGACCCAACAGCAGCCATCAACTAGCCTAGGTCAACAGAACCATTTTGCTCCGCCTACCCATACTTAAGAAGACAAGAAAAACGTTAATAGATTTTTTCTGCACTGTACCTGATCTAATACCAATATGGATATTTTTTACATTTTTGTTTTAAAAACAATTTGCTAGCTAATTAAGTTTACCTTGCCATATTAAATATTTTATTTGTGTCTTAATTTTTCCCGTTTTATTTTTTCTTTTATTATTATTCAAAATACAATAAACATTTAATAACCTCTTATAGTGGCAATATTTTGATCTCAAGATTTGAGGTTTCCATGTTAAACCATTTATTAAGTTTATGCAGTCTGGCAAGCTTAGAAATTAGACTACAATGTAAGACTAAAAAAGTATACAAAATATTATATTAAGTCTGAAAATATTTCAACACCAAAATCATTTAAGGGGACACAATCTAGTGTTAGACACTGATACAAACTTTTTTGACCTGCATTTTGTGTAAGCAAGTTTTATCATGGTCCATTACTGATATTAACATACAAATAAACCATCCTCTTTGAAACAAGAAAAATATACAACCCCACAAAACAGTTCAAATTATTTTTATTGAAATACACAAATGAAAAAAAAAATCAGCATGACATGAATGAGATGAAATAAATTAAGATGGAAACATTTTGGTATAGAAATGTTGCTTTAAGACAGGGTAAATTGTATTGGATACTTTTTTTTTAAATGAAGAGAAAAAAAAATGAAAGTTAAAAAAAAAAAGATGTCTTGGGTCAACCATTATTCATTCACAACAGACAATTCATAAATGAAAAAAAAAAACAATCATTGTGAATATACAGTTTTTAAAACTGTTCACCCAACTGCTACAAGGAATGCAAACAGATCCTTTCCCTGTTTAAAAATGTACCTTTTTGACAAACTGAAACCTCTAATCAGGACATAAATTTTATAATTCATCCTTGATGTATGGAAAAATGAAACAAATCTATATGCACATAATGGTATCACCAAACACTTCAACCTCTTTTTGTCCTTTTCCTTCTTCCTTTAAATAAAAAAGGAAGTAATGCATAAAAACCATGTATACACATCAACCAAGTGTTTTGAAGACAATATTTATAGACATGACAGTAGTGCAACAGTACAATGCATTGATTCAATTGAATAAAGGCAATAATTACAAAGAAAAATATTACGATATAAATATTTCAAGCTGCCACAGACACCATGGTAACCCTTTCATATGCACTCAAAAGTAAGAGCCACAGATATACAAAAGCATACAAAAAATTTTTTGACAACTTAATGAGTTGCAGACATGCGCCTGTAGGTTACACCAATTCTCTAATCTTTTCTTTATGTTTTACTGCAAAGATGAACAGATAAAACCTGTGAGCAGTGTGACTGGTCTTGGTGACACTGATGGCAAGGATTTCCCACAAAAATTTTCACTGATTAAATAGTTCCTATGCTGGTGCTCAAACAACAGAAGTAAAACAATTGCTTTCAGGAGGGTTATTTCAATACACATATGTATATATAATATTCATGCTTTCATGTGTTACTTTTTACATATTTGCATAAGTGTCATTAACAGAACAAACAAATAAGATCAACACAATATACAAAATGCCTAGAAAACTCATGAAATTTTTTTTTCTAAAATGTAGAAACTATAGTATTGAGTTTAGAACGTATTAGGCCATTTGAGTTGTGTATTATTCTCTTTATTGATTTAAAAACCTGACCTTTTGACTTTCTTGAAACAATTGTTTAAGATAGTGATAAATCTTTTTTTTTTTAATTTAATATTTCATTTCTCCAATTAGAAACTGCATCCAAAAGCAGGTCTAAATAAGCCAATATTGTAAAAACGGTCCTAAAAGTAAAAGTATTTAAACATCTGCAGTTGACCTTAACCTAGAAAAGGAAAGAATAATAGTGACTACACAGAAAAACAAAGTGTTTTTTTAACACTAATGGAAGACTTTAAAATACTGTTTTCCAGCTATTTCAAAATATTAAAAAAAGAAGAGATTAAGAAATTTTTCTTCAATTTCTAATCTGATTATTTAAGAAAAGGTTTAAAATATGTACATTTTTCAACACTTCTAATTTGTCTCATCATTCTAAAAAATTATCTAATGAAAATTCTCTTGAAAATTCATCTAAAAAAATATTTTTGTATTTTTCTCTGCCAAACAAGATCAAATTTTGAATCTTCTCTAGGCTACAACATTGCTAGATAGTCCTTTCTTTTTTAGAAATGACACTAACAAAGCTTAATACAATAAACTTTCTAGAAACTATTGATGTAAGGGCAACTAGACAAGCCTTGTGCAGATTAGAAATGGAGGCTGAAACGTCAAAGCAGAAGTAAATAAATTTCCTAATTTAAATGTAATTTATAATAAAAGTAGTCAGATCATTGTGAATACAAGAGGAGCCTAGACAATATGATAAAAAAAAAGTTGTGTGTATATAGTATACATATATTTATATAAGTAGGGGGAGGGGGGTTGTCTTTTAAGATCAATTGTTTTAGGCACATTTTAACCAAAAGAACATTTATTTATTTTTTTTAAACTTATTTTTTTTTCGGTGCTGCTGTGAGATTGAGGAAATGAACACAAGAAATGTATAAACCCCCATGCTCAGACTGGCAACTACACAATTCTTCCACATAACATTTTGTACTAGACAAATTAATTTAAAAACAATTAAAGGAAACCATTCCTTGTCATGCTCAGTGTATACATATAAATTTTTCTCTTGATGAAAGTTTTTTTTTTTAAAAAAAAAGGACAATGTATTTCCCACTCTTAACAAATTTCCCTTGTATCCTCCTATCACTCATAAAAAGTTGGCACACAGGCTATTGGTTAACATTCTGTGCATTCAAACAATTCTTACAAAAAGTTCTTGTCATTTTTACACATGGAAACTTTGAGACGACAATGATGTATCAACATGTAAAATTCTCCACAACAATGCAATACTATTTACAGATGATCAAGAAAGCCAACAGTTGGTCTATGATACAGTAGTGTGGAACTGAGTTCCACTTTTTCTCCTCCACCTGATGGGACTAAACAAGACAGGTGACTTCATGGCTGTACAGCTGCTCAAAGCACCAAGTTCATTACCCAAGGTATACCAGGATATTCAGCCCAAATTTTCACATTTCATTCATGTACTGAAACTGGGGATGTATAAAAATGAATTAACTTTATCAACAAAACTACGGGCATGTTAAAAATGTTACTGTATATATTACTGGCTATTTCTGGTAGCAAATACAGCAATTAAATGGATTGTTAATGTAAAAAATCAAACAAAACATTTGAAAATCTTACAGTGTAATCACATTTTAAAATCTCTTTAATCTCAGTCCAAGACTACAACTTCCTGTTGCCCCAACCTATGTCCATTGCCCAAAGATCCTGTAGGTAGAGGTGGTTTTACATTGAGATTTTTCCAGGGATTACGAGCCAAGCGCTTGAAATCATTCATCTGGAGTTGTTTACGAAGTTTCCTGGAAAATAGTGTACAGGTCAGCATGCTGTTTTTTAAAACCTTAAGTTCTAAAAAATGTAAAATTTGTAAATCAATATTAATAGCAACAAAAATACTGCAACAAGCAGTTAAAAAATTGTTTCAATAAATTATGAAAAGTGCTTTATTAATGCAAATTAAATTGAATAGTTATTTATGATAAAAATGAATCCCATCAAAAGATGTGAAATATTGACACACCAAAAGGTGCCTCTATTTCTGTGGCATATAAAGGATTAAGGAGCCATCACAATTCCCCCGCCACTTTCTCAAACTAGCATCAGATACCAACAAGAGATGGGCTGACTCAAGCACACCCTAGCCATGTTCAGAATTTTTATGTGGATTCAAACCTGGATTATTCAGGTGTATGATAAAAAAAAAGAGACTTATTTACATTTTCCACTCAGATCAGTAACGTTAAAAAAATATAGATAAATCAAGGGAAGGTAATTTTTTTCCAAAAAGCTAGAGAAAAAGCTGTTATGTCAGAAAATGACTTAAAAAATGCTTATTATTTTTAATGAGAACAAACAAAATATTGACATTTAAAATACTTTTTGACTGGTGTAGTAAGCAGGGTTTGACACTGTAGGATGTGACAAGTACACTACACAATAATCAAACCAAGAGCTGAAATAGGAGTTCTCAGATTTACCTGGTCGCTGCAGTAGCAACGAAGTACACATCATCTGGCATGTCCATCCAGCTGACCATATGCATCTTCATATTTCGACCAGCAAACCGGCTACGCCCATTTATGCTGTTATGGTTAAGCACACTCCCTCGCTGAAAAAAAACACCGTATAGCGGCACTTCACCCCCGACAGTTCTATCTTTGGGTCAACTTTTTTCCTTTAATTACGTTAACTACCAGAATTAGGTCACAAAATAATGTGCCTTATTCCACGAAGGTTAGTAATATTTCATATTTTAATCAGTTTTGTTAAAATAATTGCTAGCAAATAAATCGGTAATGATTTAGCAAAGCTAGGAATAGAAATGTTTATAAAAAAATTATACTGATCTTTACCAAAAAAAAACAATATCTAAAAACAACTGCTATTTGATCAATGTGAATGTAACTTTTAATTCAGACCTCTTTTTGTAATATTACAAATGATTTTATGTTTTTGTTAGTGTTACTGTCTTGCATATAAGATAATGTCTTAAAAGTGGTTTGGCAAACTTAACCTGTAAGTAATAAAAAAAAAATTCACAAAAAGAAAATCTGGAAGTAAAAGGTTCAAATTGGGCAAAGACAAAGAGTTTTTGTGATTGCAAAAATGATAAGCTCATTTACTGTTCGTTAGAGTGAAAAAAATAAAACAGGTAGCTTATAAACAAAACAAAAAGTGATTTTTATAAACTGTTAGAGTGCATAGCACTGAATATAACTGTGAATTAAGTTAGCAAAAGCTGTGACTATGCAACTGCAGAGTGGCAATGATTTTGAATGAATAAAACAAAACTTATTTTCCTTCTGGAACTTCCTTATTCTTTCCTTATTGTCTTTAAGTTTCATAAGTTAAGCAACAATTATTGAAAGTAAAATAAAGTTTTTTTAATCACATAATTCGCTAAACATTTCTACTAATACCAGCTCTTTAAAATATTTTTTAAAGGAATGTTATCAGACGTTTTGGTGAATCGTGAGGAGCTTACCCGCTATACGGTGAGAAAGATATTTACATTATTTAATTAAAAAAAACATTCCTTAATCTATCAATCTGAAATTCAACATCTACCTAACATCAAGCATGCAACTACACAATATCTACTGACTGAATTACAAATCACTTTTCATCTCATTTTAATGAAAGAAATAAACATTGCCACACCATTATGCCACAGAAACTTTGACTGAGTCACATTACTATAAAGCAGCTAATGAGGGTTTTTAGCTATTGTATTTTCAGTCATTATTCTAGCTTTTAAACTACATATTTTAAACTAATATTATTTTAATGAAGTTAGAAGCAAAGATTATTAGTATGTGACTCCAAATACATCTCAAAAATATTTTAGCGAAAGCTACAAAGCAATAAAATAAGTAAAATATTTTTTGATAACTTCAACAAATAAATTAGTTATGTAGATTTTTGGCTAAATGTTAATGGGGCCAGCAGATTAAAGAAAAGCTTAGATCATTAGTATGGTTAAAACTGATTAAGAGATTGTTTTTTTTAATTGGAGTATTTTTAAAATAGTAATGTTGCAATAAAATGCTAAATGGCAACTAACAGTTTTAGTAAAAATTCCTTACAGTTTGAAATTACTATACTCAGAGCAAATGAGTACTAAAACATTATCAGACAACTCACAAGACAAAAATCATAGCGACTAAAGAGAGAGGAGAAAGAAGAAGGTTCACTTCCAACAGAAAAAAACAAGTCTATGGCTACTGGTATTCAAGGCCATGAAAAAAAGTGAGTCCAAAACAATTGCTAACATGCATGCAGAACAATTAAAAGCACATCAATGAAGATAAAATATATTTATCATTTTGTTATACTTGTGTATAGAATTTATTCAAAAATTTAAAAAGTACATATCTTTTAAATTATTTGGTTTCAATAAAATTTATAATTAATACATTATTTGTATGTGTGAATTTTACTACTGAGCCTTGTTTGTTTTAATTACTATGTCACAGTTCTTCTAAGAAGCTATTTTATATACAATGAAATACACTTACAGTGACACCTGGTGTTTTGATTGCAGATCCTGCTTGTCTAATGACACCCATGTTTGGTCTTTTTGCCATTGGGGCTGGGGAAAAAAAACAATTTAAAAACAAAAAGTTTAATGTTGATTTATCTAATATTTAAAAACAAAAGAGCTGAGTGTTAAATTTCTCCACCTGTATCTACACCATTTGTTTGCTCATATCCTCTCTTTTTCATGATCGAAGGATGTCCAGAGCCAACTTTGACATTTTCAGTGTGTCGTTCTGAAAGAAAAAAATATAGTTAACTTCTTAGTTAAATCTTCCCAATTAAATACATAAAATGAATCCGTTATAAAATGAATTTTTTTTTTCAATATAAAATATTTTTTAATACCTTTTGGTGTGCAGCTCCTGTCTCCACCACCATAATTTGGTCCACGTGATAAAAGTGAAGGTTTTTCTTGTTTGGTGTCTATACCAAGCCGTGCCACCACTGGATCAAGGGTTGTAGGAGTTCTACATTTTGTACCCGGCTGGTAAGAACTGCCACGGTCAGATAAGCGAAGCTGGCCTAAAAAAGATTTAATTTTGTTCAATTAATGCAACCAGAATACTTAAAACATAAATAGTAATGTTTGAACTAATTTTCTTGGAGTAAAGTAAAAAAAATTTTTTAATTAATCATAATTTATAACTTACACTCTTGTTTGATTATAGATGTGTTAATTGGTGTAAATGGACAACGTGCTGCATGTCTAGGGCGAAGAATGTCTCTGCATAGCCGCCGTGAAATACGGGTCAGCTCAGTGGTTACAAGGCAAAAAGCGGCACGGGTTTTCATGACAGGTCGTGGGCTCCCAGGTTGTATTGCAAGACCATGGGCAGTGGCCAAATGTCTTGCAAGATGAGCTTTTAATTTGAATTCCTACAAGTTTAAAAATACGTCGTTTTTAATAAATGTTTTCAATGCTAACCTGAAAATTTGATATGCAATAAAAAAAAAAGGGAGAGAACAATAAAAAGAAACTTACTTTACCACAACCACTAATAGTACATTTCTGCATGCGAAAAGAGTTCATCTGTGCCACACGTTCTGAAAATTAAGGGGAAAAAAAATAAATAAATACAGACAGTGAAAACAGACAATTAATACATTGAAATTAAGTCTCATCAGTGCTGGGTGGACTCTGGTTTGTCCTATAGCCTGGAACTGAACACATTCAGATGGGCTTTTACTGGTTCTACCACTGACCATAACTCCGTATGATACTGACCATAACACCATACAATTATATAATTTACATATTCCTAACAAAAATATTAAGAAACATTGAGAAACTTACCTTGTCGTGCATTTGGTGCTGGCCTCTCTCCATCTGAAAAAAAAGTGTGATCCTTTATGAAATAATGTACATTTCTATTTAATAAGATAACTGAAGCAGTTACTATTACGGTACTAAATTGTGACTACATTACGTGAGCTTAATAAACTGTATAAGATACTCTTACTATGTTGCATTGCTGTTCTAACAATTTATTTAAAAGTAGTTCAGGATTATTTCTACAGACCTAGCCGTGTGGGCATCTTGAGTCCGCCATATTTTTTCCAATAACTCCAACAGTTGCTGCACAATCTACACTGCATGTGAATAGGACCCCATGAGTACCACTGTGATGAATGAGCAACTGGAAAAAAATAGTTAGCTTAATAACATAAAGAATTACATTTTCATTAAAGTAAATATTTTTCTTACATAGTGTTTACATGAATTATCAAGAAATCAAAAGTACTAACCATAGCAGCTCTCACACGCTCTTCCTGAGACTGGGCCATCTGTACCATTCATTTTGCTTGTAATAGCAGCTGGATTAGGCTTATTGCTGTTTAAGTATGGATTAAGCAAACTTGACACACCCAAAAAGAACTTAGATTAAAACATTAAGCTTCCACCCATCTACTATAAGGTAAATGAGCTTCTGCTTCAACATAAAATAAAAGTTTAGCTATTACTACTTTTGAAATAATACATCTAAGAGTTAGAGAACCACTCACTAGTTGGGAATGTACACCTGTTTCAGCTTGCTCTCTGCTTCTGATGCCTTGATTCGTTTCTTAAAAACAATTTATAAACAACTAACGGTCAATCTTTACTATTTTAATAGTAGTTTTAGGATGCATTATTGCTATGTAGACAGATGATTAGCAATAGCATACATAAATTTTGTAAGGCCAAACAGGTGTCATAATAATAACAAAACTTTTGTACTCAGCTACAGTCCGCATGTTAGCAAGCATACAATACTTCCACCAACCCTCGTAAAAATTTGTATCAGTATTACCTGTTGCACATATCTGTCTGTTGTTTTCCACATATAATAATATTCCACTATACTCTTTAAAGATTTCCAAGGTAACTGAGGAAAGAGCATTAGAAATTAGTGCTTAAAAGCCTCTAAAGAAAGATAAAGGCAACAGAAGGGGAAAAAATGAATCTACTTACAAAATCTTGCCTAATGTCATTGAAATCTTTGCCATACTTTTCTATAGCATCTTCAAATAAATTAGCCTCCGATGCTGACCATTCCTCCATTTCATCTCGACACAGGACAGGACCACCTGAGGGCACTAAGCTCTTGATGGCTTTAGCAATATCATAGTTGTGTCGGTGAAGAGTATCCATTGCATGGAACTGTTTTGAATCAAAATGTTATTTACAATTTTTTAAAGTACAGAATTAGAACTTTTTAAAGTTAAAATTAACTGACTTATTGAGGTGAGACTTACAATAGTAATATCTCTAGATGCAGCAGCTGCACTCATATGAAGGCTAGGTTGCCGAACTGTACTAGTACAGTCTAAGGCCCTTGCAAAAGTACCAACAGATCTAGATAAAAGCAAAACATGTAAGTTTTATTTGGAACTTTACTTGAGCAGCACTAATACAGATGGTCATCAAAATGTGGTGGCAACTTAAGAAAGTGAGTTTAACCTGGCAATGATCTGGAACTGATCTATTTCTTTTTCAGACAGACCATGACTTGGATCCCACACAAGCTCTTCTAGATCTTCAGATTTGCGCAGATCTTCATCACCTACAGAAAAAGTTGTTTTTTTAAATCTGAGCTAAATTACAGTTTAAATTTACATTTAGCATAGTACATGGAGACGGCGTGGCCTAGCTGTAGAATGCTAGATTGCTAACTCCAGTTCAAATTTGGGTTCAAGTCAGTAGAACGTCCCTGAGTCCACCCAGCTATAACTCATGTTAGGAAAAGTAAAGGCGGCTGGGCATAGTTGCTGACCATATTATCCCTTCATTTGCCAAGGCCACAGGAACAGGTGAACTCTACTTCACTTGCTCCATGGGCCGTCAATTTTGAAAAGAAAACTTAACTTATTTACTTACTATAGTACATACTGGAATTATAAAACATGATTTATTTATAATTAGTTTTAAAAATTATTAAAATGCAGCTAACATAGAATTATTACTTAATATTATTTGATACATGGTTTAACTATTTGTAGAATGATGCACAGAATCTATTCATTTAATTTGTATTTAAAAATAATGTTTGTTCTAACCATCTATTCCTGTATATACTTTAGGTATTGTCTCGGCTTGATATTTTAAACCAACACGTATCTCTCCTTTATCAGCCAACAATGTTTTTTGTTGAGGATCATAGACTAATGAATAAAAAAATGTGTCCTGTGGAAAAATGAAACAATTCATTTCATAAACACAATAACAAAAGTTTACATTCAAAACCACAGATGCATTATTAAAAGCTGCTAGAAATCAAAATTCAAGTAAACTGCAGAAGTTAATAAAGTAAAACCTAAAAAAATAAAAACAAAAACAAAATTGTTTACACTTACCTCTTTATTGAGATATGATAAAAGTGATTCAGTTTCATTGAGCAGTGTAACACAACATTTTCCACGTATGTGTGTGGCAGGCAGTGTTTCCACCTGCCGAGATAAAAATAGTTCTCGATGTTTCAGTTGGTGTCGCATTTTTTCCGGAATCTCTTCCATTCCTCTGCCACCATGGTTGTTGTTATTGTTATTTCCATTTGTATTAGAGTCTGTGCCGTTCTCTTCTACTGCTGCCACCACAACTTTACCCGTAATCTCTTTGTTGTCACCATCTTCTCTGGGTGGTGAGCCTTCGTCTATTTCTGAATATAAAGTTTTTTAACTTCAGTTTTTAAGTTGTATCAAATTCTATCCTCAAATTTTAAAAAATTTAAAAGACAAATTTTAATATAAACCGAGATGAGTCAAAAAATATTTTTTTAATTTTTTAATCTTGATTTCAATTTTTTAGTAACTTAGTAAATTTTTAAAAATTAAGTAAATACAAAATAGTGTACTGCTATTTTATGCAAGTCAAAAAATTCCTTGATGGAAAATATTTTCCAATTACACAAATTAAAATGATTACAATCAGATTTTCTACTGAAATAAACGAACAATAAAATGTACAGCTACATTACACACATAATAAAATGCGAAAGATAGAGTCCTAAAAAATGCAAGTTATAATTTCAAATAAAAATTGTATACCAACTAACAATGCATGCTTCTTTTTATCAAAAGAAAATAAATTTTTAATGATTAAATAATAGATTATAAGCTTTACTGGCCGTACTCATATATTTCATGCAGTAAAGTTTCTTTTTTAATTTTATTCTTACAACACAATGCCACTGTTTTGTTAGATATAATGTGTTATCTACAATACTATCACCTTAGATGTTTATAGACTATGGATATTTAAATGAAGCATTAAATAATCTCAACCAGTCATAAGGAAAATAGTGACATAAGTTGAATAGTTCTACAATATATAATGAAACCACCAATGTCAGTGTTGTAGATTTTAATTTCAGTGTTGTAACTTAGACTAAGCATTTTTTTAAATTTCCCCTGCTATATAGCCAACATATAATAAACTGTACTAATGGCAATATTACAATTATTATGGTAGGGTGGTTTTAAAAAGCAAAAACAAAAAAAAAACCTCCCTTGCCTTTAAACGACAATGCACAAGTGTATTACAATAAAGGAAAAATAAACATCAATAGCCAAGTGTAGTACAGCAATATGCTTAGTCTGTTTAAAACTTTCTTTAAAATTAAATTTCTTTATTCCCTTGGGTCAACAAAACAGTAATCCTACAATGATGACCATGATATATAAGATATTAGTGCATATCTATATAGCCAGATAAAATGTATAAGTTATTTATTAAATTAGTGTGTTTAATCATTAGAATTACTAATTTTAAATTCTAGGCAAAACCCAAAAACAAATGTATTAAAAAATGATATAAAGCGCCAGAGATCACAAAGCATATATTTAAAGAGAGGTGCAAATTTAGAGACAAAACCAAAAGAGTGAGAGCATCCACTTTTTTACTGGAAAAAAAAAACAAAATTATACAACAACAACCCAAAGCAAGGTGCTAGACATATATTTTATAAGTAGAAGCCGCATTTGATTAACAAGTCAGAGGTCTACTACCCACAGCCAAAAGTACATAGTTTTTTTAAAAACCCAACACACACCTTTTCTTTCCTCAGTGTCATCCTCTATAACGTCTGTTGAAACAAAGAAATTTGTATTAGCGTTGGTATCATCCATCCAACCAATACCTCACACTGAACAACATTAAGCCATGCAGTTTGTTGGAGAAGTGACAGAAGTTACTAGATCCATTCAATGAACACATTCAACAACACAAAACACCAAAACCAGTCCTAGGCTGCTCTATGCACAAATCTGAATTCAATCCAGTGCTAGTGTAAAGATTCTAGTCAAGTGATGATGATGATACACACTGCACAACAAATACAGACCCCATGAGAAAAATCAATAGAAAACAAAAGACATGTATGGATTGACTACTGTGATAAAAGAACTGATAAGACAATGGAAATTACCATCTATACACTCTGAAGTTCATGTAGCCTACCAAACAACATTGATTTATGAAAACACAAAATGTGTTTTATTTAGTTGAAGCTCTTCAAAGACTAAAGTGTGTTTATTTTAGTTATAACTCCTCAAAGACTAGTTGAATGCATGCACTTTTTCAGCAAATTTGAATGTCTTTTAAATCAACAATTTAGGTAAACAATAGATGGTCTGGAGAATCATTTTGGAATTAACACACCGAAAGGTATATTTTAAAAGCATCACAACAGGAATCATCTAAACTCTGGACACTGTTCATCTTGTGTGAAAATTTCAGAGCATGGAAAGTACTAAACAACAACCTTACACACACATACAACATTCAGACACACCTCTCTCTTCTTCTGTCTCCTCTTCAAGTGTGTCTGTAAAGTCAAATAAAATAACTGGGTTAGTTACTGGACAAGAGCCTATTAAAATGACCTCGGATTCTCATCTCCAAAATCAAAAATCATAATTTTGCTCTAGTGAATTAAAACAGGAATTAACAGTACAATTTTACTCGTTTTCTATAAGGTTAAACATCCTAGCATTGAAAAAACTTTGTTCCATTCAACTGTTTTTCCGCCAACCAGTTTGAATTGAACATTATATTCTCAATTTAAAATATACTTTTTTTTAAATGTTAAAGACCTCCTTTAAAACATTTAAACAGATCAGTATGTAGCAGTAAATAACTGCTCACCAAGACTTAATTTACAGGCTTAAACTCAATAAGTAAGAAATTAGAAATGTTTTTTTTTAAACGACACTGTTATTAAGCTTCTCTCTTTGTTTAATTTATATTGCAAGACAGCAGTTGTAATAGTACTCACTGCTTCTTGGTGTGTTTATAAAAATAATATCTAGTAAGTAAATGTATCAAGTTAGGAGAGCACAAACAAGTAAGAGTTGGCTTCTTGCTATAACACAAGAAACAAGGGCAACATCAGCATTTTATAACTTCAGATATCAACAAGCAATAGAACATAATGTGAGACTGACATAACATTTCTTCAACAATTCTTTCTAGCAACTGTAACCTGGCAATTATTTGATTTGTCCATGTATAAATAGAAGTGTGCACCTTTGCATCGCTCCCAACAGACCTAGTATGCAGTTTAAAAAAAATTGGTGCTTTACAAATAAATAGGTTGAGCAAAACCAACTGATAACAAACTCAACTCATTGAATGCTACCAAAACTTGTTTAAGCAACATACACCAGGAAAGACAAGTGAGATCCAAGTACACAGTGGTAAGTCTTATTATTTGGCTACAGCAATCAGAAATCATCATAACACTCAAAGGCCTAAGGAGGGGAGTGGCTGTACTCATGGTCTGACAATGTTACTAATCTCTTGATCAGAACACAAGTTTCAGGGAAACTTAAACTGCATCGTGTCCGTATTACATGAACAGATAACCAAATTGTGACTAAACATTTTTAAAAAATTTTAAAGATTCTAAAACAAGAAAATTCAAGATTTGACCACAAAACCACCCTGTCGAAGATTGTGAAGTAAGTTAAAAGGCTTGTGTAAAAACAATAATTATTTTAAACATTACAATTCTATCATTTGGTTTCATAACGTCGTTTCGTTGGTTCTTAGTCTACTTGAAGGTCAGCAGCAAAGACTGATAACACCACCGTTAAGATTTCGTTTAAAAAAAAATGTGTTTAAAATTTTTACACATACACTCAACGCATAATCGGCTAGCAGGAAATGGCATGAGGGGGGGGGGGAAGAATTACCGTAACACCTAACAAATTTTTTCTCCCTTGAACCACGTTTCCTTACATCGTGACAAGATTACAAAATTATTTGCAAGAAAGAAGAAAAAAATGTTTCAATTTAGGACAAAGGTAAAAACATGTACAAAACGTTGACAACGGGTGCGTTATATTAAGTAATATACTGTCCAGATGTACCCTCGTTGAATTGGTTTCTGATACACTTTCCAAGTGTGGGTTGTTCAGAAGCGGAGCCTTGGATAAAAAGTGTAAGTACGGTCCGGTCTTAAGCCAAGCCCATAAATAGTAAGCCCGTGCGAGCACTATGGCACTAGCCTAGCCACAGCTTGTCCGCTGTGCCTAACCTCCCTGGCGAGTAGGCCTAAGCCCCACCGCTTACCTCTATGATGAAACGAATCGATGTGAACGGGTGAGGGGTGGGGGCCGAAGGATGAGATTTCGAACTCATTAAAACAGTCGTACGTTAATGTTGTTCGCCTGATAAACTATTTTTGAGCAGGCCTATAGGATGTCAATTTTTAAAAAGGGTATACACAAACTAGTGGCGCGTAACATCTACCAAGAGCGAAGTGTGCCTGTTGTGATATGTGTGATATTTTACGCCGACGTTTGCTTATCCCCAAACTCCGTAGCATATCAGATCTAGATCTACTTGTTGCCGACAGTTTCACTTATCTAGGTTTGTACCATTCATAACACAACGCGGGATCGACGTATGATTTACACTATTATACAGTTAACACCGAATCACCGTATCCTCACAGCTAAGAAAAAATGACTCGTAAAAACGTTCGTTTTCCGATCCATTACACCTACTTTTAAATTTCAAAAAAAGCAAGTTATCATTGTACTGCAATTCCTATGGTAAATATTTGGTGAGATCATATCGTACTAAAACTAAGTGCTACAATGGATTTGGATAATCATCATAGAAGAATAATTCAGAGCCATGGATGTCAATTGCAGAGAGCAAGTAAAAAAGAACAGTATTACTAACCCAACGCAGACTTACAATGAAAATCTTAGTAAATAAATATGGTATATAAACAGTAAGTGTAACATTAAATAAGAACCTAGGCCTAACTATCGAAATATATCCGTGACAGGTGGGAAAAACGCAAGTCAAATGAACAGAGGCGTTGCCTAGCAACTCGTATAAACTGGTGGAGTACAAAGAACACATGCAACGGAATACGCTCAAATCAAAGGAGAGAATGTCAAGTCGATTAAATTATCTAGAGTATTCAAGATCTAAACACCTAAGACGAAAAACAATGTCAAATGAAATGTCAAGGTCACAGATTGTCAATATAAGAGGAAAAAATGACACTTTTAGCATACAAAGACATTTCAATTTAGTAGTAGTACACTGCCCCGACGATATAAAACTAAGTCCCTAAAGAGACGTTATGTTCCTGTAGGACCAAATTCTCTAAAGGAGGGGGGGGGGAGTAAGAAAAGTAATAGTTAACGCAATGCAAAACTAAATATGTATTTTTTAAAAACGCAATTACAAAAATAAGAAGACAGCACTAGATAAATGGACCAAAAATGGCGGTTCCAAACGTCGACTACAATAATCCAAAGAGTCGATAACAAATGTAAGGTGTCTTACAGTGTTGACAATAAGAAAATCAATAATGTCCACAAGGGCAGTACGACGACGATATGAAGAGAGAGAGAGAGAAAAAAAAACATTGCATTATTACTTGACTTGGTGTCCAGCACATATCAAGTTCTCACTAAATTTCAACATCCACTTTAAAACTTCGATTGCATGCTAAAATCGTGTTCAGATAGCAAAGCTAATAAAAAAAAAACTTTGTCAGTGCTGATAGACAGTAGTGTGGAGGTGGGAGAGTGAAAGGATCAAAAGATGGAAGGTAAAAGTGTTTCCAAATTGTATTATCATATTAGGTCTAACCAAAATGACCGACTACTCTGGCGACAGTATTTACTTCAGATTCGTTGGATGGGATGGGGTGGGAGGAGATAGAGAGAATCGGTTTAAAGCTTCTTCCAGGCATCTCTTCGGGCATCTTCCGAAAAGAAAGTCTACCCCCCCCTCCCGAACGAAATGGAATTCATAAAGAAAATATATACTTTTACCAGTGCCCCCCCCCCCCCCAGGAAAAGAGTTTGAAAGAAATACAGTACAAAGATGTATATTCAACAAGGAATACGGATTTTCCTGCGCTAGAAGTACATTTCCAAAACTGACAGTTAACTTTCTTTCCACAATATGGAACTTGAAGAATATTTACACCCGAGTGACTGCCGCCGTCTTACACACAAAGTAACTACTTGAACTACATTTGATGTGTCGCAATGAGGGTTGGTGGCATTACTAAAATACGGCATTTTTTCGGTAGCCGTTGCCGTAATCAAATAATCTCTAACCTCAAGGATTAGGCATCGTCAAATGTAGATCTACTAGCTATCCAGTTTTGACGGTTACAACAATGACGATGTACACTACAGAACACAAGCGTGACTGGTAATAGCATAAAACGGCTTGTCGCACTTTAATAATTGTTTTGATTAAACTCAAGGATAACACGTTGGCCTGCTGATGACTGCCCCTAACGTAAAAACTATACTATTCTTAGTTCCTTTACTATTTTACTCACCAGTTCGTGATATCGTAAAAAATGAAATTGGCAATAATATGCAATGCGTACGAGGTGGTGTGAAAACGAAGCTAACAACATAGAAAATATTTTACAGCTTAACAAAATAATATCTAACATGATTAATTTTAAACAAAATTTTAAAGGTGGGGAAGGCTTTAAAAAGAGGCCATTTTTAGAAATTTCCAATCAATGCTAGATTCTGTGTCAAGGCACGAATGCTCGCCAACACCCAGCTACACACACACACACATACATATTACAAATAGCATTTACCGTATAACATCTTTTTCTTGTGCACTTGACCAGACCAATTAAGAAATGGCCGGGGTAAAAATGTTATTAAATTATTTTGTTTTTTCGCTTGCAAGACAACCTTTCCAAAGTTTAATTAAGATTCGCGTGATAACCCATGGTCAAAAAAAAAAGTCAAGAGAAGAGACATGATTCGAATAAGCAGCCTAATATGGACATCACTAAATGTGTATAAAATTATTTACTGACAGCCCATGTAATTTAAATTAGCACGGCAAACGTAAATATGAAAAAAAATTGAGGCCACTTGCAGTAAGTGTTGTGTTTTACGGTACCGTCAACTCTCCCCTCCCTGCGCAACAAACACTATCGCGTATACCACCATAGCTAACAATGTGAATTTCGACAGGTGGGCTAAAAGATGGCTTACAGTACGGTCGTTTTTTTTTTTTACATATATATCTTTACAATATGTCAGCAACAACAAACGGTATTAATGTGTTGCAGGAAATCAATGCAGGCTTTCACTGCAGCCTATACCTAGACTAGTATTGACAACAGATCAATACTGGAAATTAATAGATCACAAGGGGAAGTAACCATCAACTATTAGCCTTCTTCTGTTGACCTTTGTTTGAAAGAATAAGGGATGGGGTCCTGCAGGGGGGTGGAAGGAAGGAACGAGGAAACGGCTTGGGCAGGCACGCATAATATTTTGACCTCGTTTACCAATATGGGGACTACTTTTCTCTCCGAGGCAGAGGGAAGGACAGATGGAGGGAGCAGGGGGAATGCAAACGACCTGCGCCATGGAAGACGAGAATGTAGCATAGGCGGCAGTGCAAAACGGATTAAAGCAGGAGAGAAGGAAGAAGTGGCAGCCATTTTGAAGGTGGTCGGTTGGGGTGGGGGAGGGAGGGGCGACGGCGTAAGCACGAGCTCGTTGATACATAATGTTCGCTTTATCACCATTCAGCATGGCTGGAGCGGTACGCATGTTTGAAGTTTTGATATTACACATGAACCACTTTGGGAAGAGTGCACGACAAAACAGGGCTTAAGTACCTGACCTGGTCAGGATAGGAAGGGAGAAAGAAATTGTACAAGTGCTAGTTTTAGTTTAAAAAAAAAACAGATACCATTACACTAAAGAGTTGTTGTTGATTTTAACACCTTATAAAAACGATACAGATAGAATCAATAATGACTACAGATAAACACACAACATGCAATTAAAATAGAACAAAGGGACCGGATAGGTACGTGTTTATTTTTAAACACGTGTACACATCCCATGAAACAAATGACACACGAGCCTTGTGGCAATTAGCTGCTTTCGTCTAGTGTTAATTGAAGCCATATATACCAACAATATAAAATGGGTAGGCTACAGCTTACATACAGGCCGACATGGGCCAGATTAACAAAAAAAAAAAAACAACATGGACATTATTCTGAAATGTCGACGAACCCTTCCAGTAGGCCTGAGGGGGTCTTCTACCAATGACGTCACAATCCTGGGGAGGAGGGGGGGGGTGGTGACACACACACACACTCGATTCGGACTTTCGTGACGATGTGTGACGAAGGGGGAAGTTCGGAAAAAACGACAACACACTTTTGCATTTTAAAATCTGAATTTTTAGCAATATTTCCGATTTTAAAGACTAAGTTGTCGAAAAAAATTATTTACGATCTCTATGTTAACCAAGTATGGTAAATATTTTTATAAAGAAATTGATGTTTTAAACTTTTAAAAACAATGTCACGTCTTCTTAAGGTGGGGGGGGGGGGGGGGTCTCTGACAATGTGTGATGAGGGGGGGGGGGTAGGAATCCGTTAAAAAGTAAAACATGGTTTTAAGGATGACGCCCTAAGAGGTCATGCTTTCTATGTCCAAATGAGTAACGCAAAAAGAACAAGTTAGACCCTACGATCTAACCATAACCAGATAACATTATACAACAATTCCACAGACATCCCCTCACATAAGAATACTTAATGGCTTTAAAAATATGTATTGGTCTTATTTTAGAGAAAATTTGGCATGTATACTTGATCAACCTACCATACTGAAAAGTTGTCATTTAACACACAAAAATTTGGAATGAATAAAATTGAAACCAAAATGTTAAGTAACCATGGTCTATTTACCACACTCTGCTCCATATTACACAAATATAAATCAACCACCACACACATTTGTGCTAGGTTATATAAACCATCCTAAAAGCCATACAATGATACTTTTAAAGTTCAAACTCTGTGTTCAATTAATGTTAAAACATTATTTGGGATTGACCTCTACAACCCCCCCCCCCCCCCCAATCCACCAGGTAATACTGACCAAAAAAGCTACTTATTTAGTGAATGACTTGTCTAATGGGAAAGACATAATATATTATTACTTTGGTTAGGCTTCAGGTTAGAATTAAATAAAACAAATATCCCCAAGAAGCAAGTTCATTATATTACTACCTCTACATAGTAAATATCAAAATAAACATAGCACTGTTTACATTGTTTTTAGTTTCTCACCAAAGAATTGTTTACGAAAAGTGTATTTATCCTAACTGCAACATCCCACTGACAGAAAGTATTTCAAAACTGATGCATCAACCACTTTCAAGTTTAACACACACATTTTGAAATACCTATATTTTTTTTGTTATACTCAACAATTTTCCAAGAATATATAAAAATAATATTTAAAGTTAATGCATGTAAAACATTTTAAAATATTGTTTAAAATAGTTATCTCCCCTGATATTAAGCATTGTTGAGAACAAAAAAAAAATTGGTACTTAATATAACATTTGCTTTTCATAACCAAAAAAATGTTGCATTTAACAACTGACTCACTTGAAATGAAGCAGTAATAAAAATGTTTCAGTGTGTGCACAATTTCAGATTAGTATAAACAAAAATGATGAAGGGTACTCACTGTGATGTTTGTCAGCTAGAAGAATTAATGAATTGGAAATATCCCTCCTCCTATAAAAGCACATGACTTTGGCTTCAACATTCCCATTTTGAGTCTGTAACAAACAAAAATTATAAGGGAAAAAAGATGACAAAAGAATTTTTTTAAATATAAATAAAAGTTAATAGATATTTATTACTATGACTCATAGAAAAACTGAATTGTTTAATAAACTTATATGTATAATAGAAATAACAAAATCTTATAATTACACAATTTATTATATATATATATAGAGATACTTACTTTGTTCAGTTCTTCAATGCGCCTTATCTGGTAGGGCGCAGTTGATGAAGTCTCAAAAAATACATAATCTGAAACAAATGACAACAATACTTTATAGGTTCTGCTTAAATGAAAGGAAATCAAGCTCTAAACCCTCCCTCATTACCCAGTCAATAGAAATATCGAAGTATTAAATTCAAATTTTTGTAAACATTTATCAAGGGTGACCAGAAAGATGCGCAACAGAAAACAGCGCACTAAAAATTGTGTAGGGGCATTTTTGTTTTCTTAAAATCGGGCAATTATAGACACTGGCTGAGAATAACAATAGGTACATTGTAGCATAATAAAATACTCTTCAACGATATATGACAAAAGAAAAAATGTATTAGTATAATTAGTTTGTAGTTGAGCATTTTTCTGTTTTTGCAGTTTTCCGTTCGTGCACATTTTTCTAGGATCTTTAAATCAAGATCCTTTCTCAAAGTGAAAATTTCCTATACATGCAAACATTAGTTATAAGTATATTGCTTAGGTTTATTTTGTGAAAATCAAGATGAACAAAAGAAAATGAGATATTTTCACAAGCTTTTATTTCAGCCATAATTGTTAAAACTTTTAAGGCTAATACGTACTGGAAAGATTTTTTAAGTGACCACTGTTTAATATACTACTTTTTGTTGTTTAAAGACCAACTAGAACTTTTTATATTCCCAGCTCTAAAGTCTACCCCACCCCATTAAAACTGTTCAATTCAAACTGGATACATAAATATATAGCTTACACTACACAGTGGCTTATGTTTCTATATTAAAAAAAAACTACATAAGTACTACCTGACCTTATTAGGCTCTGTTTATGCTCTAAAATTTGATCGCTATTACCTAGTTATATTCCATTTGGTAATTTAATACAGCAATCTTTTAATGTATTTTCTACAAATAATTTTATACTAACTAGATTGATAATTGATATTCTTGTGTAGTCATTGAAGATGCACATTCATGCACATTTTGAAACCTACTGATCCATGAGCAATGGGTTAAATTGAGATTTGACCACATACATAGATGCACACAGTGCGACGTAATACAAAACTCTACAAATTGTGAATCAAAAAACTAAATTACAGAGCTAATTAATATGAGCTGACCTGCGAAGCAGCATACGCTGCTATTTAGTTGTTTTACGTTCAATTTTTCAGTAATTCTTAATTTGTGAATTCAATACTACCAATTGTGAATTCAATACTACCAATGCTGCGACTGAAAATATTTTGCTTTAAAAAACTATCAGTAGCTCGTGAAGGACGATTATCCTCACCCTCACTTTCTACTTCTCCCCCACTTGAAAGCAGCCGTCAGTGACGACAGTTTACAGGTGACAATTAATAGATCAAGCAGAACTTGTTATTTCCCTCCCCTTAGTTTCAAATCGTTTAAAAACGAAATTATCTGCCCCTAATAGCCGCCGGACTCTACGATTGTAAACATGTAGTGTTAAACACAGCTCACCAGACTGGTGGGAGTGGGAGCTATATGCCTAGAGAGCGGGGGAGTAAACGGCGTACGTTTACGTGGTGTCTTGCATGGTCCCCATGAAGAGAATTATATATATAGATTGAGAACATATGAAAAGGCTAATGCAGTGGTGGGTTTTTTAAAGGGATTTTATTAATTTTGTAAATGTCATTCTAACACAAGCAATACTACTCATCTTTATCTAACTGCTTACTCATTTTTTAAAAGTTAAAAATATTAACAACTTGATTTATTGGCATTGAAAGTTGGTTTTAACTTTTTTTACCTGAATATTTTAAATATAAAAACAAACCTAAAAACAGAAAGGCAAACAAATTGTTGATTAGAGAAATCAACAATTAAATAAGATTGAAGGACATTTAACATAAGTAATTCAAAACAAGACTTGTTAACTCTAAAAGTACCCTTTCCAATCTGACAATCCAAGTGGCAGATGAAGTAGAGTTTTTTCTGTTTCAGTGACATCAACATATGAAAGGGATAGTGTTATAAGAACTATGCCCAGCCGCCTTTACTTTCCTTAACGTGTCAGGTACCTATTAGAACTGGGTAGACTAAGGTACATTCTATGGACTTGAATCCAGATTTGAACTTGAGACTTTCAGGTTAGCAGCAGTATGATGTTAACTCTAGCCTTAATTGTTAATACTGATAATACCTTATATTGAACAAACTACACAATAGTAAAAAAAAAAACAGATGTTTATTATCACTCGCTTTTTACCAAAATTTTATATATTGAAAACAGAAGTTTTTAATCACGTAAAGAAACAAGGGTTGCTTGCCATTGTCTTGGATGAAAACAAATTATGATTTGATTACAGTTTTGAAAATGTACTTAATAAATAATTTATATAAAATGCATCATTGCAATTTTTAAATGTTATCAATTTTTTCCTAAGATTGCTTCTATGATGCTTAAAGGAAGATTGAAAATAGCCTATGCAAATAATATTTCCATACAGGCTCTATACGAGAAACATCAAATTAAATAGAAGAAATTTCTGGCCAAAATAAGACATTAAAAAATATACCAATACGCTACAAGAATGATTAAGATCAGTTAAATCACTCCAAAAACAAGTTTACCACAATAACCCCACAAATGGCTTTAAAGGAACCATGTTTTCAAGAACATTAATAGACACCTACACATTAAAAACATTAAAGGAAAAAAAATAATTAAAAAATAACCAAACATTAAAGAACGGTTTACAGGGTGGGCAGTTGATTAAAAGAAACAGCAGTATGTAATATGCCTATAGGAGAAATTTAAAAACCTCATCAAAAGATGTAATAATTAATGATAAGTATTATTTTTAAATTGCATCTATATTTAAATTAACTTTAATCTTAGATTCATTTAAACACGCTATTTACTAACTGGGTACAGTTTTAGATTTTCATAGCATAGATGGTAAAAACATCCACGAACAACTTCAGTGCATGGTCAGCTGTATATTAAGCTTAGGTGGGATCCAACACAGACTCTTTTAACTTAAATCCCACCATGACAAGGTCTATGATAAGTGGCCATGCCCTACGAACATGACAATATGGCTCGCATTAAAAAATGTTCCATAACTTATCAAAACCCACAATGCCCATCAAGAAGTGCTGGATATATTAGCATGGGCCAAGTTCATTTATTTATAGAGAAAATGTAGGGCCACCAGAGCCAACTGCTAACCATTGTCAGCGTCCCCTTTTAATATTTTATGTAGGCCTACTTAAAATAGAAACATGCACAAGTGCTGGAAATAATAATTGTAGCTAGGCTAGTGAATATTTCACTTTAGTTTGAGAGCAGAAATTTAACATCAGATATTATTAATTTTTTACTACAACTAATATAACTGGATCATAAAACCAAATAGGAAATAAGGCCTACAATAAAGAATCATGCTTAAAATAAAATGAATTATACTGAATTGGATGCAATAAAAATATCCTTATAAGTTATATAGTTTATATAGTCTAGCTTCAACTAGCTTGATAAGTTGATATGGACCTAACCATGTTTACTAGATTCTATCTCACAGTTATAACTTTAAATAATGAGTTTTTAGGCCTATAGGCTAATATATATTATTTTTAAGGGGTCATTTGATTATTTGTAACTAATCTACACTCTTATTGTAGGAGAGAATTTATCACTAGACAGATCTATCTAGATATCTAGATTCTAGATCTAGATACTGCCATGTCAGTTCATTAAGTCATAAAAATAAGTTATTTGAATATGTCTGTTTTGCATACTGTAGCAGTCAAAAAGTAAGACATGGGCTTAATTTTTTTTAAAACAGATTTCACAAGTTGCGGAACTGTTAATAAAATAAAGAGGGTGGCTGGCTTTATTATTTTTTCATACGTTTGTAAATTAATTTCTTGTACATTTGCGGATGCCAAGTTAAAATCTACTTCCCCTTCCACCCACTGTGCCCCTTTTTAATGTCTCAGGTCGACATTGTTGTCTTCACAAAATAGTCCGCGAAGTACCACGTTTAAGAGTTTTGAGAAATATAATCATAATTTAAATAATATTTGCGGTTCTAATGATTATTTATAACACTAAAGTGTAAATTAAAAAATAAAATTAATATGTTTTACAGAGAGTTTTTACGATATTAGCCATATAAAAATCGAAGCGATCGGTAACCTTATCACACAATTGTTAGTGCGCGTTGTATTGGTCTTAATTAAAATAAAATACGATAAATAACAACTTCGAAAAATAATAAGCAATATATTTATGGAAAAACTAACTAGTTAAATAGATTAACAACACTTTAATAACTTAATGCATACATAACAAGCTAAATATCAACAAAATTTTAAAAGCGTATCACTTCGCCGTTCAGCTTGGTTTGTGAGGCATGCATGCTTCTTTCCTCTTTCAATCAACACGATTGGAAAATTAACTTACCTCCAACTCGATACATATTTGCCGACATTTCTGTGCCGAATAATAATACACCACACTTTAAAAAAATAAAGACTATACAGTCAATATATCAAAAGTCCAGAAAGACATAGAACTGTGCGAGTCCAACCCCCAATCACCCCCCAACGAGACTGATCACGGAGTCGCCATTTCTCGGACCTACTGTCTTCCTCTTTTTACAAGTGACGTCATTCGTCCTTCGGCAATGCTCGGTTTTCACTCTAAAACCCACTTGAGATGCTGACTTATATCAAAACCATAACTTGCTTGGTGTCAAATTAAACGCCATGACCCCATTAATATGAATAATGCAACTACAATATTTTGTTTTCATTTATAATAGCGGAATCTTATGAAACAAATAATGCATTATCGTCTTAATATGCTTTGTGTTAACAATCCCTTTTATGAGTACAGCTTGGGGCATTGGGTAATTTAGTTTTGTTTTTTTCATTTAATTGCCTTGGTTCTATTAGCATTTTGTAAACTTGGCAACTTTCACATTTGTATGTCCCAAAAAAAATGCCTATGGCCTGTGCCTGACCAATACTGTACGTGCTGTCTTTGTGCGAGAGCGCGCGCGTCAGCAGACGAGACAAGCGGAACCTATGTGCCACGGTTGGCGTGCAACCTCAATCATAGGAAAGTAGTTACAATCGCTTTAATGAAATTGGTACTAATCCGCCACAGTGATTAGTAAAGGTTGAAAAAAAAGTATGTATCTTAGCAACACATGACGTCACCACCGGATAACATATTTCACACTACTCAAAATCTAGTTCCATCCTACGTGACAATGCAGTGGGAACGATTCCCCGTGAAAAGTAGGGAGTAATATCATGGAAGGAACAGCAGTAAGAAAGGGCGAGGCAAAAAAAAATCTTTCGAAAACGGATCGAATATCGACCATTTTGTTTTATCCATATTTTGTTATTACGTATTTCAAGGAAACAATAATTCCAATCAAACCGTCATAATACAGCCATCGGCATGTTAATTAAATAGAGTTAATAGTTGTTCAAACGATCTATAGCATACATAAAATAATATCCACGTGATTCTCTTTAAAAAAAAACGAAAGACAATTCAGTAGGATTTTTCACTAAAATTGCATATAACTTTCGTTATGTGTAGCCCCTTAACAATAGTTAATAACATTTAATCACGTGTTTGGGCGAACTAAATGTATAATATAAGGTATTCAGGTATAAGCCTATATATCCTATATGTAGGCTTATATATATATATATATATATATATATATATATATATATATATATATATATATATATACATATATATATATATATATATGTGTGTGTGTGTGTGTGTTGATATAGAGAGATAAATACATATTGCTGCTATATTCATATATCTACCTAGATTATATAGGGCCCATTATATAGGCCTACCGTTTTTTAAATAAATACTGTCTGGTCACTTCATTTAACGATAGATCTATATTTATCTTATCTGTCGTGTGGAATTTAGATAGCTTATAAACCGTCCTTATATCATCCCTAGCGGGTCGCTCCGATTCGAGACTAAGAGGATCGAAGGCTAAAAATTAATAATGCCTGGTTTAACCCTAGCAGATCCTCATCGCCTAAGGCCTCCCGCCTTCCTCGCCAACCCCCACCGAACATCAGTCGATCAGTCATTTGCGCTGGGTAGATAATTCGAATTTAGAGTGAATAACATGTCCATATCTACACACGCTACACTTTATTTCCAGAAATTAATCCACTCTACATAATTAGTAATATTCAAATCTGTCAAAATATCTCATGCCTTCTAATGCGCTAATTCGTGCATGTCACTACATGCCTAGCACATAACTTCAAAGCTTTGCAAATAATAATTTTAGAGGGTTTACCGTAAGGAGTAGGCCTATTTATAGTGGTTACTAGTCTAGATTCTAGCGATGCGAGTGTATGGATTTTTTTTTTCACTGGCCTTAAAATAGCAGTTTTAATCATTATGTTATTCTTTAGGCATGTAGGCTGGCCCGTTTATAATTACATGCGGCTTATGAGCCTTTATGGACAACCCCTTCAGTTTCTTAATATTTAACTCTCGCATCACATTTTAAGGGCACAATGTTTTCTAATTAATGTTACATCATATATTTGCTTAATTTAAGTGCCCCATCAATCATCACCAAATTATTGAAATTTTAAGTTGTTCAAATTTTACAATTTCCTTTTGATAGTAGATCTAGATCAAAATCTAAACGCCAAACATCTCTCCCCCCTCCAACAAGTTTGAGAAAAACCGAATAAAGTTGAAAACTAGTTGTATAAATAAAAAATTATCTGTCTGTCTGTCTGTCTGTCTGTCTGTCTGTCTGTCTGTCTGTCTGTCTGTCTGTCTGTCTGTCTGTCTGTCTGTCTGTCTGTCTGTCTGTCTGTCTGTCTGTCTGTCTGTCTGTCTGTCTGTCTGTCTGTTCGTCCGTCCGTCCGTCCGTCTGTCTGTATGTATGTATGCATGTCTGTCTCTCGGTCTGTATGTCTCTATGTCTGTCCGTCCTTCCCTATATCCGACAGTCTGTCTGTCTGTGTGTCTTGCCTTTCTCACTTGCGCGTTTGACCTGATTGATTGCCTGCCAGCCTGTCCGTATGTTCGTCTGCCTGCCTCTAATGTGTTCCCTTTAGTCCTGTAAGTCTAAGATTGTGTCTCTCTATATATCCATCACGTCTAAGATTGTGTCTCTCTCTCTCTATCCATCACGTCTAAGAGTGTGTCTCTCTCTATCCATCACGTCTAAGATTGTGTCTCTCTATATCCACCTTATTCCATCACGTCAAAGATTGTATCTCGCTATATCCACCTTAATCAATTATCACTGAACAGCGTGTCTCTCTCTTAGCCCATATCATTTGACAAGAGAGTGTCGAGTCATAATGAGCAATGAGCATCCATTGAAAACTCAAATCGTCTACCAAGCTCTGGTTAATCTCATAAGCCCGAAGATTTTAACACGGACAGCAATTATTATACCACCCTTTACTATCACTCTGCTGTATTTACTTAATTTAAACCTCCGGACGAAATATAATCTTTATATACAATATACACTTTAACCAGTGACCGCTCCCTCGAAATTTAAGACAAAGCGAAAGTTTTAAATGCTTCCCCCCCCCCCCTCCCCACCAAGAAAAAATGTCTAAAAGAAACCGTAGCCAGTCATGGGGTCATAAAATATAAAAACAGTTCCTTCTGCAGATTCCGTAGGAGAATGTCAACGCTTTATGACAGCGATACACATAAAAGACTAATTATGTATTGGGCTATTTAAAAGGTTTTACTTGCATTCAACGGAATTTTAACTTAACTGGTTTTATAATAATTGTATTAGGTTAATTGTTTTTTTTTTAAATTACTAAACAAATTAAAAATTTGTAATAAAAGTAGGACTAGGTCAAAGATAGGAATCGCGAATGAAAGAGGGAAGCAAGTATGGCGAAACAAACTTGCAAAAGATCAGTTTTCAGTGAAGCAGTCGAAATTTGGAGGGGTCCACAGGAATGATGAAGAAGATATCAAAATGTTGACTACACGACGTAGACTTTACTTTCGTGGCGACCCGGTGACCTCTATATTTTCTGCCCAACTTTTTTTATCGAAGATTTTTTTTCTTTATACTAAAAGTAAAAGGGACAAAGAAAGATGATGCCCCCTTAAAGAATGGAAAGAACACATTTGGCTGTGAAATACAATGCCAACAATTTCGATGAAACCTTTCTCAAGTCAAGAGGTGAGAATCTAGATAAGACACAGGCCAGTAATTCCATGTCGTAAAAAAAATAACCAAACAATATAGAAGTGAATGATGTCAGTGATAGGTGACTAGTCGGCAGGCGGTGCCTTGGAGTTAGTGAATGTTCATTTCCCGCCTTAACTGCAGATTTCTTAACTCTCAAGCTGGAGAGCGGGAGAAAGGATATCGAGAGCCAAGAGATGAAAAATGAATAGGCTGACATTCGGCAAAGTAGATCTATATATGATGTATAGTAGTTTCTTCCTGGAGCCCCCCCCCCCCCCCCCGAAGAAAGTCTAGCGCACCACCCCCCCCCCCCCCCCTCCCGAACGACATGGAATTTATATAGAAAAATTTACTTTTACCAGTGTCCGCCCCCCCCCCCCCCCGGAAAAAAAAGTCTGGAAGAAACACTGTTCATGAGATGGACTGACAGGAATATGGAAAAATAGATTTTGATGGCTGATGAACAGGCAGGTATCTGGACAAAAAAAACTGGTAATCCGAAAGTCGCAAGTTTTGCCTGCACACAGTTAAATAACATTTGGCTTGAGTTTTCCTTGACCCCCCCCCCCCCAAGGCAGAGGCGTAGCGACCCCTCCCGGGGACAAACTTTCAATTTGCCCCCCCCCCCCATATTTTTTGTTTATAATTCAGAACTGCAGCTAAAATGGTCGGCACCCGGGGACATATGTACCCACCCGCTCCCCTTCGCTACGCCTCTACCCCAATGTGCGTCTGTTCAATTCTAAAATCAATGCTGATGCTTGGGACATAGCCCTGGACCATGACAAAGACAAACATTGTTAATCTCCAGACCTTTATAAACAGACGAATACTCGGGACCTACCGGTCCGACGCCATCTGCAATGTGAATGTTTAGGAAAGAGCCGGGCAATTTGGTGCTGGTGAGGAAATCAGAAGGTGGGTTTGGATAAGGCAACCCTACGCAACCCGCCAACCAGTATGATCAGGCAGGCATTAAGCTGAAAGTGTGAAATTCTCAATGAAAGCGCAAAAGAGGTCGACCTAGAAGGAAAGACCTGGCGAGGCTGAAACTACAAAGATGGGCTACACTTGGAGTCAGTTTGAGAAAATGGTACAGGACAGAGGACTCTGGAGATCTTTGGTTGGTGGCCCATACCCCAGCAGGACAGAGGACTCTGGAGATCTTTGGTTGGTGGCCCATACCCCAGCAGAACAGAGGTCTCTGGAGATCTTTGGTTGGTGGCCCATACCCCAGCAGGACAGAGGACTGGAGATCTTTGGTTGGCGGCCCATACCCCAGCAGGACAGAGGACTCTGGAGATCTTTGGTTGGCGGCCCATACCCCAGCAGGACAGAGGACTGGAGATCTTTGGTTGGCGGCCCATACCCCAGCAGGACAGAGGTCTCTGGAGATCTTTGGTTGGCGGCCCATACCCCAG